AGGATTTTGAGACAAAAAAATCTATTGCTAGATTTCTCATACCTTTTTAAGAAAAAATAAATTTACAAATAATATATGAAAATTATTAATTATTAAAATCTAATTTATGTTTAAATACATACTATTATAATAAACAATGGGATATAAATTTGCATTAATTTTAACTTCAAAAATATCAGTTTGGTGATTAAGATAAAAGAATGTGATAATATAATTTATTTTATTCAAATTAGTTTTAGTATTTGTTAAACAATATAATATAATAACTTCTTTCAGTGGTTTATCTTATATCATAGTTTAATTTTTTGTCTGTAATGAATTATCAAATATTTTATGATAAATTTTGTCTATTACAATTTTTATTAATATATTATACTATTTTTAATATTTTATAAAAAATATTTAAAAATGTATAATTTGAATTATTTTATAATAATTATTATATATTTTTTAAAATATTTTATCATTTTATAAAGCACAATTTCAAATTTTTATAAATTTTATAAACAAAAGATTAATTAAATTATTATAATTTAACATTATAATTTTAATTAAATTTTAAATTGATTTTTTTATGATTTTGAATGTATTTTGATAAATTTTTAATTTATTAATTTTTTCTTTAATATACATTTGAGAGAGAGCGAGTTTTTAAAAGAAAATAAAGGAGAAGATATATTTTTTAATTTTAAATTATTTATAATAATAAATATATAATAATATATTAAGTTATATTTATAAAATATATTAATTTTAATATAAACACCCCTTTCCAAAAATCCTTGAGGAAATAAGAGTCTTGGTAAAGAATTATAAAAAGATTTTATTTAAAAAATATATTGAGAATGCATTAGATATTATAATACATTTAATATCATTTATACTTATTTTTAATTTTATTTAATATGAATAGTAGCATTCTCTTCTCCACTTTTGCTTTTTGATGATTGTCAAAAGCAAAAAGTGAAAAAGAAACTACAGAAAATATGCCACCCAACCATCCTCTAATATTTATCTTCATTCACATCCAATCTTTTTTGTATCACCCAACACTTTCGCTTCTTTTAAATGATTATCGTTTAGATTCTACAAAAGGCTCTGCAAATCAAAATGGGTGGATCTAATGAAAGCAGCATATATTCATATCACAATGTTATTTGACCCACGTAACTATAGAGTATTTCACATATTAAACCCCTTTTTAATTTCCTTATTAAAACAAATAAATGAAAACAAAACTAATGTTAACTAAAATTACAGAAATTATTATTTTTTAATTTAAACTTATTAAATTTGACAGCAATACGTATCCTTTTTTTTTTAAATAAGTAGATATTATATTACTGCATAATATACTTTTAATCTTAAAAGAGGAATATATACATGTGGGTGAGAATCTGTAAATTTAATTTTGTATTTCTTTATAAAATAATTTTTAAATATATGTTTGAAAAATTATATTAAAAATAAAAAATATTTATCGTCATTTTTATTTTAATAATATTATTAACAATTTAGTCAACTACTAAAGAGAATATTTTAAATAAATTTATTTTAAAACATAACAATATATAATTTAAAATGACAATATACTCATCTTAGAAGTAAGCGTGTATTAAAACTTGGGGTCACAATTGATTATTTATTGAAGAAACTTGTCAAATGGAGTATAGTTTTTGCATTGAGTTAGAATGTTGTACTATGTTTCTTTACAAATTTACGTTTTAAATATAATCTATTTCAGTTTAAATTTACTCTCAATTAAATATAATTTAATAGAATTAAGTTTATAAACATTGAATTAAATGGATATTTAGAATATGTTTGGATTATATTATTTTTTTAAACTATTCTTTGATAGACAGTAAAAAAATAATGTAACTATTTAAATTTGTTTGATAATTTATGTTATAATGAAAGATTATAATTTCAATAACATAAATAACCTTTTGTGTGATAGAAGATTTTCAGAAATTATGACTAAAAATAATTTATTTTGTAACTAATTTTTGTTTGTCCATTTTATCTTTAATAAATAATCTATTTAAATATAAAAATAATAACTAAAAATAATTCGGTACGCCTTTTCTTTTTGTGATTTTACTATAAAATTTGATTCTTTTAACCAATTTAAACAAAATATATTATTTTAAAAATACAATTTACTTAACATATCTAAACATAAAATAGCAAAAAAAATAAAAAAATAATCTAAAATAAACCTTATTTCATAAAATCGATTATAATAATAGTTGATCATGAAAATAATCATTTTTTTAAAACTCAAACATACACTTAAAACATGTTAAAATGATGAAATAATTTTAAAAAAATGTTGCATTTTAAACTTTCTCATAAATTTAATAACTTATATTATACTCAAAGATTACAGCATAAGGTTACTCTAAAGTGAGTTTACAAGCAAACAAACTTCAAAAGAATTCTTTCTAATTATAATCTCAACAAAAAAAGAATTGTTTTTCCAAAAGTTATAATTAAAAGCTATAATAGTTTTTCTTTAATAACTTTTGTTCGTTTATTTTATCTTCAATAGTTGACTAATTTAAATATAAAAAAGTAACAAGTACAAATAATTACGTGGAAATTTTTGTGATTTTAATATAAAAATTGATTGTTTCAGACAATTTAATTAAAATATATTATTTTAAAATTACTTTTATTTTATATATTCAAATATAGAAATTATTTCATACAATGGATTAAGACATTAAAATAATTATTTTTTTTGATAACCCAATTACACACTTAAAATATGTTTGGGATGAATTAATTTTGGAAAAAGAAATTGTTGCATTGTAAACTTTCTTAGAAAGTTGGTAAAAAAAAGTTGTTATTTTTCCAAAATAAACTAAACCTTTACCAACTAAGTTTTAAATAATCCTGATTTTGTAAAAAAAAAAAATCTGATTAAAAGTGAATTTAAAGAATGAAGTAATTTATATTTAAAATTTTTATCCTGAAAGTAAATTTATAATAAAACTTGATATAAATGTCCTAAAATAACACACATGCCTTATCATTTTCTCTTTTAATAAATAATACCATTTCAATTTTTTTTCCTCTCAATCCTACCATATATCTGTCATCAAGATCATACTTGATTAAAAGAAAGATGGTATTTAAAACTAAAAAAAGAAAAGTGTATAATTAAATAAAAAAATCAAATGAATCACTTTGATTTAATATATTGAGTTTAGGGTTTTGTAGACGACTCTCACGGTTGAGAAAAGAAAAGTTTCAGGGCATTTGTATTCATGTCGAGTTCAAAATACAAGTATACTTTTAAGTAAAATTAATATTTATACAGTGTACAGTGAAGTTAAATTTTATAAATAATAATAATAATACTTATTATTCATATTATTTTATAAATAATAATAGTAATTTAAAATTTTAGCATATTTATGTTCAAGTCGAGTTTATCTGAATTTTAAGAAAAAAATTTAAACATAAATTCACATTTCAAATAAAATCTATCTTTATATATTGCACAGGTAATTTAAATTTTAATAAATTTTATAGATAATAATAATTATTAGAATAGTTTTTAAAAGATGATGATGAATTTGCTTGGGTTGTTTTTCTTCTTTCCATTGCAGTCAAAGGAATCCATTAGCATATAGGTATAGTGGTGGGCCCTGAGTTTAGTGTGACCATTCTATATGGACACAGAATCCATTTTTAAGTGTGGACCTAACAAATCTCTTTTATTTGCTTCTTAGAAGATGTTTCTTATTTTTTTTGGTTCCTACTTCACTACCTTTTTTATTATCATAATTTTCTCATTTCCTTTCAAACACCAATCAAGATAGCGTTTGCTGAGAATAAAAGAAAGAGTTTGTTGTGGAAAGATCAAAAGCCAACAATATCTGAAAAAGGAAGTCACAAAGACAAAGTTGAATAAAATTTATAAATAAAAATAGATTCAAAAGGAAATATATATTTTATTATTAATAATAAATATTTTATTTATTTTTAAATATTAAATTAAATTTCTCATTTTTGTATGAGAGTTATTTTTATAAGTTAATTTAAATGGAATTATCTTTAAGAAATACTTTATTTTGTTGAATTACATCATGTAGTTTTTTCTATGTTGAGAATTTGATATTTTAATTATTTTTTTCTTCAAATGACATTTAATACTTTAATAATTGGAGGAGTTGTTTCTAAAGAGAAAACTAAAAAATCTCAAGACCAGACCTTTAAGTTTAGTCTTGGAGTGGATGGATAATTAAATTTAAAAGTAAAATTTGTGTAGCTAATCAAGTAGTTGATTTTGTAAGCAAAGATATTACAACAAAATTTAGTTTGAGTGAATTTTTGTAAAATTATTTGTAAGAAAAAATATATTTTTATTAATTAACATTAATTTATACATTTTATGATTTAAAGAAAATAATTATTTTTTAGAATAAAAATGTAAATTAATTTTAACTTATGATTATCTCTATATTTTTTTTATGAATATTCATGCAAAAATTTATCCAAAATTAACTTGTGTATACCAATGTTTGACAATTTAGAAAGTAAAAAGAGCGTATGAGCCAGTGAAATTTTTTCAACCTTGGTATATACTTTTTTAATGAAAATGGAACAATATGTTAAAAAATTCATTCGTTTATCAAGGAAATTAGGATATGATACTATCTAAGCAATTATGGACCGTTTGCCAAAGTGTGCATATTTTCTTCATCTTAATATCAAATATTCTTTACAAAAGTTTACTTAATTATATATTAGAGAAATTATAAAGTTATATGGTGTACTAATCGCTATTATTTCGAAGGAAATCCTCACTTTATATCTAGATTTTCTGCCTAAAGCAATAAATACAAAGCTTCGGTTAAAAAGATAAAAATATCGTTAAATTAAAATTAAAATTCGTAAATAACAAATAATTAAAATATTGTTTTGAGACAGTTTGGTGGTAATTAAGGAAGAGGCACCTGCAATTACTTAAAGTGCCTGAACTGAGGTAGTGTTGTTGGTGACAAGACAGAAACGATGAACAAGAGTTGTTGTTCAGAATCTTCAACAAAACCAAACACCATCAACAATTCATCCAAACCCAAACCTCCTTTTATGCCAGCAAAGGACGACACCAAACCCGTGCTTCAAGACCCTGTACTCTCTCTCTCTCTCTCTCTCTCTAGTTTCTTTTTGTGCTTGGCCTCATCTTTTATGTGATTTATCTTCTTTATTCTGTGTCAGATTCTGAGATCCGATCCAATTGAGACAGAGGAAGCTGTGCTGAGATTGCCTTCATTCTCAATCCCCATTTCAACTTCCTCACCTCAAATGACCTAACTTTTAGGCTTTTAATCTCTGCCAATTTAAACCTTCTTTTCTTCTTTCGGTTTTCAACAATGGGTCTTCAGCTTTTTGGCTCCTGAATAAACCCATGTCATAAAGTTGTAATTTTTATTGTGTTACACTATCTTTAAGTGAATTTCAGTTATTGTTATTACTGTTCCTCCTCTAATGTTCATTTCCAATTGAGGGTCGAGTGGTTATGTGTTGTTCATTATGGAATCGATAACAATGTAGCATTCATAATGGTGGGGTTGTTCTTAGTTCTGAACAATTTATATGGTTTGTTTGTTTGTTTTCCTGGTTGAATTGCTTGCACTTGGTGGTTGGTAGAGCACTCTTTCACTTGTGATTAGTTAGTTGTGGAATGGCGGAATAGATTTTGCTGTTTTGCTTGTGCATTCAATATGGTACACACAACGAAACTCTCGTGGTGTGGCACGGATCAAAGATTTTACAGACTTGAAAAGTTTCATCTCAGAAAAATTACAATAATGTTTTTTGAACAATTTTGGAGGACGACTTTTAGTTGTTCCCTTTACTCTCTTTTTTTATTATTATATTTGGTGTATTTGGGATAAATGTACGCTGGAAAGACAACAAATAAGTATATACAATGTCATATACAACGTCAATTTTTAACTGTTCAACAACAGAACTACAAAAATTATGAATGGCTTGAAAGTTAAAAGATTGGTTTAACTGTCAAACTTGAGCTTGGATTTGTAGCTCTTTAGGCGTTTCTCTGGTTATGTCAGATTAAGAATTCAGAATGCACATTGTTAGTGCACACAATATTGTGGTTTGAATTGATATCACAGCAAGCATAGTTATTTCACAAAAAGCTTTTTAAATTGAACTTCTTATGTAGCTTTTCGTGTAGCAGTTCTGTAATTAAGGAACTTCTGAGCGAGGTCATTGGACTGATAGTAATATCCTTTTTTTATATATGGGATTGTTGCTTCAAAGTTGTGTATTTAGTAGTTTTTGAATGAGTGCCTTTGACTTGGGTTCCTATTTTAATTTTCTCTTCAACTGTAACGATGACATGATTTTATGAATGTTTTGATGACTGTAAAGTTAGGTTACCTTTAGGTTTTATGCATATTTCTCTTTGGACATAACTTGAGAAAAATGTGGCAAGCATGTAGTTTCATTGATGGAATGTGAACCTAAAAATTTAGTCAAGGTCCTGTAACTGCCACCTTATGTGGAATTTGGCTCCTCCAATTTGCAAATTGTGACAATCACTTCAATTCTGAGAAGTAGTGCAGATTGTAGCTTGCAAATCTAGATAATCAATTTGTGGAAGTATAGGAAATTAGTTGTGTCAATTTATCTCCCTTTCCTAAGAGTAACTTTATTCCTAATGGCTTGTGGATAGATAAATACATTGTTTGATTGGGCTAAAATAGAATTGGAGCCCATTAGTGGTTTGTCCTACTCCATTTAAATTCTCTTTTAAGCCCGAATGGTTGTGCCCAATGACACCACTTCAACCTATGCATCATCACTCAGTTCTTTCTCAAATGAATTCAAATTGCTATTATTTGCTGCTTTGAAATTCTGATCACTAGTATGTCACTTTGAAATTACATAAAAATAAAAATTTTAATTTTTAAAAATAAGTATTTTGATTATATTAAATAAGATTAAATTGATAAGATAGTATTTTTTTAAAATTTAAAAAATAAAATACAAAAATTAAAATTAAATTATAAAATAAAATGCTTAACAAATAAGAAGTCACATGACATAATAAATAAAAAATTAACACATTCTTTTTCGTATGAGATGACTTTCACGAATCCTCTTATTTAAGAATTAGGAGTCACATATTACATATAAAAGTATATTATTTAAGGGCTCATTAGCATTGATGTCTATACAATCCTCACCACTGGAATGTTCCAGGTCTAGCACCTCAAGTCAAAATTAGAGAAATTATAATTACATTTAGGCTTTGTTGAGAGTTTGAAAGAAGAGAGAAGGAAAGAGTATGAACAGGAAGGGTGAGGAAAAAGAAGAAAGTTAATAAAAAATTTCTCTAATTAATGAAATTTAAAAAATATGCTTAAAAGGAGATTTTGAAGGGTTTATAAAATTTTCACTTCTTATTTAAAAATTCTCAAACTAGGGTTATTAATAAATAAATCTTCCTCTTTCACGTTCCAAAAATTAAATTTCAAACAAATCCCAGAGTTTGGCACAAGTCTCTGAACCTTTTGTGAGCAACACTTTCATCAACCCACACAAAGTTTGCTAACCTATAGCAGGACTACATTTTATTACCGATAGGGTGCAAAACTAATTTGGATTTTATTTGTACCTGATGCATTAGCGATATAAGATAGCAAATATTTAGTGACTAACTTAATTATATTCCATATTGTTTGACACATTTTGCAATTAAAAATAATGGCATTAAACGTTGACATTCAAGAAAGATGATCAGGAACAAAGATTAATATGTGAAGAAAAGTTTTACTTTTTGTTGATTGAGTTCTACTTAACCTCTATGCATGCATAGTTTGAAATACTAGTTCAACGCATACTCATAACTCAAACAACATCAATTGGAGTCTTTAAACCCACAGCAAATACATGCTTAATATAAAATACATGCTGACAACTTAATCAACAAGGATATATTATTAGTAATTTGAACCCAATTTTTTAGGGTTGATCAATGGGAATCTTGAGAGGTTGAAAACCATGACGAATACTTGCTTCCCATATTTTCTTAATACTAAATATGGTGAAACCACACTCATGGACATTCCATCCTTCTAAGGCATGAAGTATTCCCGCAATACGCCAAGCACTCATTACTCTTCTTGGAAGCCAATTCTGTTAATACAAATCAATTACTTTTATCAATTTTATAATCATGACATTACAAATTATTATGAGATGTTTTTATTAACAAGAAAAGGATATAATGTTTTGATGAACAATAAAAGGATATAATATTATGTTTTATGTAAATTAACTAAGTTACAAAGAGATTAGTATTGGGTTCAATATTGCTAATATTTAAGAGGTATGAATATAATTTGTCCCAAAATTTATAGTTGAATGATAGTGTAATAATTTTATATCACAACTTTGCTAGTATAAAACTATTTTTCATTTTAGTTACTTTATATCTTTCTGGGTCAGAAAATATTTTTTATTTTCATGTTGGTATCATAAATTAATAATAATTTAAAATTATTAACAAAAATAGGACAATTTATGAAGTATGAATCTATGATCTTATTCTCATAAATATACATGTATAATGATTTTTTAAAATTAAATCACAAAGTATGATACATATATTAGCGATACACAATATTTCTTTTAAGAAATTATATTAGTGTTCGCTAGATCAAAGACTCGAAAGCATTCTTTAAATTGATAAATTATTAATTTACTGATTAATTAATGCTTCTCAAACTTAATAAAATTTTATATTACCATCATTATTAATTTATAGAGGTTTTGCTGTATAATTTAGTTGTATATAGTTTGTTTTTAGTAATGTATAATTTGATGTATGGAGAAAAGAGTTTGCCATAAAGCTTCACCCCGATATAAATGGTACTGGACTCAAACAATGGTATTGAACAATGAACATGGAGCTATATATACAATATATAGTAATGTTTCTTATTTTACATTCTCCCTTTTTTCTAATATAGCTAAGTGTTGGGATTTTAATAGTCTTTCCCCCTTTATTAATCGTTTTACATTTTTTTAATCTTTTTCTTGTACTAAATTGTTTCATGGATTAAATATACTCTTTGTACTCTCATGAGTAAAATTCTCGTATTATCTTGCAATTGATACACACACTCACACTATGGATAACTAATTAAATGTGGAAGTAATTTTACATTTTCAATCACAAAACTCTTAAAAATCTCAAGATGCTCTTCATGTAAAATATAAACATTAAATGTTGAAGTAATTTTACAATTTCATTACATATTGACTGAATTGAAAATAAAATTGGAATGTTATGTTGGTCTTTAGTATGGGTTGGACTGATAGTTGTTAATATATTGCTGTATATTTGATATAAATAATTAACAAACAAATTTTTTATAATATATATAAAATTGCATCATTAAATTTTAAAAACTATATACAACTTAAGTTACTAGACTTTTGGAGCAATAGATATTTTTATTTTATCAATTTATATTGTGCTATGTTTTTACGATAGAGATTTGATAATTTTTTTAGTAATTATCCAATTTTACAAAAAAATATCATCTAAAATGATTACAAAGTTTAGTTGTTTGTGATAAATAATTAGATTCTATTAACATAGTCTCTTAGGACTAATTTTAACATCTAAAAGTGGTTAGAATTTATTTAAAAAGAAAATATTTATCATACTTTTTTTTTATTGTGATATAATGTTAATCGACTACTTTTTCAATAAAATATTATCATTGTATGATGCTTAAAATTAGCTCTATATTAACATTTTTTTTCTTCTGAATTATTATATGTAAAAGTGGTCTAATGTGCATGCCAATAATTCGTGATCTTGATCATTTTCTAAGATAATAATATATGGTGAAGAGTAGCTACGAACCTCACAAGAATGCAAATTGTGGAATGTACTTGGAATGATCATTGCTGGTGTATAGTGGTAGAAGCAATCTTCCCGCATTTTCTTTGGAGGAAAAGGAGAAAAAGGTATGAACAATGATCCTTTTGATGCATTCATTTGTTCATCTTCATCCCATCCATCTCCAATTAACCATACCTGCTAGATTCATAATGTTATGGAATGTAATAGTAAGATACGACTTCATTGATTTATTGCTAGGAAGGGTTATTAACCAAGATTATTTTTTGTACCACTTTTTTTTTGCATCACTTTTTTTTTTTATAATTTAATATTTGAAAGTGTATTTAATACCTTTAAAAATTTATTTAAAAAATCATTTATACATTTTTTAAAATTTAATTTTAGAAAGTGATTTTATATCCTTAAGATAATAAATTTCAAAAGTCATTTATAAATCATGTCTAGAAATTAAATTTCAAAAGATAATTTTATATCTTCGGAGACAAAATTTTGAAAGTAATTTGTAAACCATTTTCAAAATTTAATTATTAGAAGATATTAAACACAATTTTGGAAGTCATGATAAGAAGGGTAGATTGAATAATAAAAAAGAATAGTATAAATAACAACCTCCTTATTGATTAGTGTTTAAATAAATTTCTTTAGGCTTATTTATTAGTGTTTATATTGTAAGAAAATTGAAAAGACAATGTTCTTCAAACCAGACCGGTTACTGAACTGGTTAAGACATTGATTCAAGGTTCAATAATTAACTGATAATCTTTAAATAATTTTTTTAACATAAAAAATAATAATTAAGAAAAAAAATAATATTTATGATTACATAATATTAAAAATTAAATATTACACACCATTTTAAATTTTAATCATTCAAAATACAGGTAAATTCAACATAATATTTAGGTTTAACATTAAACGACAATATCCACTGATGACAAAAATGTCTAGCATAACTTCTAAAAGAAGATTGTTATTGTTGTTTACCATAATCACTAATAAATAGGTCTAAAATTTTTTATTAAACAACAATATTCACTAATATTAGTGTTTACACATAAAGTCAACACAATATTAATATTATTTAATATCAAACAATAATATTCACTAATAACAAAAATATTCAACATTAAAAAATGTCTAGCATAACTTTACACATAAATATTACACACCATTATTACCATTTTATTTTATGTTTAGTATGAAAGTATTAGTTAACTACTATATGCTAATAAATAAACTTTTTGAGAAATCACAATGTTTTACGTCATGCTAGCAATAAAAGCACAAATAATAATCATGAAAAAAAGAAGAGAGAGTAAAAGCTTAAATATGCTTTGCCATTTTGTTAGAGTAGTGCAAAATATCCAGTGATTCTGAACTAAAACATCAAATGTGGTTTATCACAGCTTTCGAATGAATCTATAGCACGACTTACAATAAAAATAAAATAAAATAAAAATGAAGGGTATAGTTAGATAAATATTCATAAGAAAAAACTGAATTCAGTCAACAAAATTTGTTTTTAAGAAAACGGATTGACCTTTGGAGTATTGATTGAGGAAAGAACCAAACTTTTCTTGGATTTAGTGACCCTTCGTTGAAGCTTTTTCAGCTCATCCTTATATAATACAGCTACCTGCTTGCATTTCTATCCACCGTTAGAATAAAACTCTAACAATTAAAAGTTTTAGAGCATGAAAAGTTTATCATATTTCAGTTGATGATTAAGAAAAAAAAAGTTTCTGATAAATACGGAAACGACATTCATAATTTTTGTATCAGATTCATATTAAATATATATAGATACCTTTACGTTTCTGTAGCTGCATAAAGCTTTGACAACAGCAAAAGCAACCTTGTTGAAGTTGCCTCGAAGAAGCACTTGAGTTGTCCCTTTAGGAATGTTGTTCAGCACAATAGCAGCTGCTAAGCTGCTTCCATCTATAACCTTTATTTTCAGCTCTGGCAATCTTCGTATATAAAGTTCGCCATAGGCATTAAGCTCTTGGCTCTGCATGCATTCAAGGATAGTATTCAAATCATAACTGTTATCTCTGAAAAAGAAAATTATATTATAATTAAATTTCAACTACTATTATTAAAGTAGGATTAATTATAATTTTTACGTTTCGGTTATACACATGCAAAATTATAATTTTTAATACCATTAAACGGAGGCAATTATGTGTTAATTAGGATAAATTTAAGAATTTAATTTAAGTACATTGATAATGTTTTACATTTTTATTTTTATTCAATCATAAGTTATCATATCACTGCAAATAGTTAATTTTTATAATAATAAATATAGAAGTCGTATTTGTGGTGTACTGTAATTAATTGACTGTGTAAATATATTTATACTAATAATGCACTAAAATTAATTTTAAAATTTAAATAAAAATCTATTTATAGGTAACTAATGACAATGGAGAGACTAAATTTGTGATAAAAATAACTTTGATAAGAAGTTGCGGTAGTGATAGTAGAAACAAGAATAGTGGGATAATGATAATAGTTAGTAATGATAGAAAAAAAATGAAGGATATTTTTATGTACAACGAGTTATTAATTGTGATTCAAAAGATAGAAATTATGAATTGAAAAATTCTTTTTAAAATCAACAATAATTGCTTTTAATTATATTATAATTTCATAGAATTATATCTTAAAATTATGATATTAATTTTAAAAATATTTCCTGAATTATAATCTCATCAATTCGAAGATTCAATTTATTCCATAATTCAATCTCATGATTTGCATACAGACATAAGGATATTCAGATTTTTTAAAACTAGTGTATGCTCAAAATTTTCAAAACTAGTGGAAAGATAATTCTTCTTCTTTTTTTAAAAGTATTTCTAGTGGAATTTGCTCTCTCCAAACAGTTTTCATAAAATGAAACGCAGATATTTTTGTCAAAATAAACACTTTTAAAATGTTTTTCAAATATATTAAAATAGATAAATAAGAATGAATTTAATTGTGATATACTAACGAAATAATTTTTTTTATATAATCGACTAATTAAATGTCATCCTAGATATAACTTTAAAAATAATTATTAAAATTATTTTTAATTTTATAATAATGTAATTATATGATGACTGATAGTGTAAAAAGTTTATTATTGTCAATATATTTTAATTAAATTTAATAATAATTATATAAAAAAACGTGCAATTACTTAATACATTCTTGAGTTACTCCCTTGGTCAATGTGATATGAAAGTAAAATTGATAAAATAATTAAATTAACGAAGGAGATATGCATGTGGACTAACCTGATTTAGAAGTCCTAGAGTCAGCACCTTTGCACCACTTAAGTCAGCCTCCTTTATCGCTTCTTCAATTAAGTTGTTCAATGTTTTGCTATGCCATTTCAAGAAATACTGAAAAGAGAAAGAATGTGACATTGAAAATCACTATAACCTAGTTTTGTTCAGGACGAGAACACAAAATTGAAAGTCACAATTCACAAACGAAAAAATCTTACTTGTATTCTAAATTTTGGTACAACCCAGGATTGCAACTTTAGATCATTGAAGATGTTGCTTTCAAAAACAAAGGCACGACCATGGATCCATGTCATAAGCATAGACCACATTGTAAAGGGCCACAATAAACGTAGGTACCATTTAGAGGTTTGAGGGTTGGAGGCTATTGAAGCAAAACCTAAGCGCAGTTGATAGACGGAATCAAGCGTTGTTAAGTGTGTTAGGTGCACCACATCTGCTGATTCCTTTGCTCTCTTCAAAGAGGTTTCATACGTAGCATCTGAGGATGTATCCACAGTGCCATAAATGTAGTCGTAAATAGGCATGAAAAGTGAGTAATTTGTCCTGAATTTCGTATGATGCAGCGAGTGAAACCTGTCCAAACCAAACATACTTTTTATCTATCTATCTATATGTAATATGTAATGTGTGTGTAATTTTCTACGCATAAAAATTGATTTGCTCAATGAAAATGAAGTGGACAAATAAATATTATTAGAAAATTAAATATTATAATATACAATTACGTTATGAGAAAATATGAATAGATAAATTTTATGCCTTAATATTTTATTCTTGCAACTTCTACAATTTGTTTGAGATTACCTTGAGGCTTAAGAGTGTTTGTCTACTATATATTGTTTCCTAAAGTTTGGCATAAACATTAGAGAAGCAAAGAGGATATATACGACATCATTTCTTCACTTTTTTTATTACACTTCAATTTATAACTTAATTGATTCATTAATATTGTTAAACTAAAAAGTCATTTGATTAATGATAATATAATAGGAATATATTCAGTAAAACAAACTGAAAGTTATGAATTTGTAGATAAAAACTTGTTACTGTATAAATAATTTATAAAATTAAAATTGTTTGACTAACCAACTATATATAACTAATTTACTTGTGTTAAATGACTTAAAAGGTTATGTAATATTATATTAATTTAATACTAAAATTAATTATCACTTATTTTATTTATTTATGATTAATTAATTAAATAATTATATAGAAAAATAAACTTTTTCTTTGTATATATTTGAAAATAAAATATTCTAAAACATATGTTTTTTTTAATATGAAATATATTTGTATAGAAGAGATAAGGAAAAAATAAAAAAAAAATAAAAATGATTGAGATTGTTGTGAATGTATAAAAAATAAAAGACACTGAAATTAATGTATGTATATTAGGTTTTAGTTGTATAACGAGTAAAGTATTTTTTTTTAAAATAAAGAATAAAATGTAATAAAAATATTGAAAACTAGTTTTTGAAAGTTAAACTCTACTTTAGATAATTTTTAATAAATTAACTTTAAAAATTATAAGTTTCTTTCATTTTATATTTAACACAACTCTAAAAATTTACTAATTAAGTCAAGAAGTTACAATTAATCTTTATGAAACATAACTTAAGTAAAAAAAAATGGTTTGAAGAAAAATGTGATGGTAAAAAGAATCATAATTCAAAAGAAATAAATGTAGACTTACGATGGTGTGTACAGGAGATACTTCAAGTGGGGAAAAATGGAGAAGATTCTCTTTGGAAAGAACTCAAAGTTGCAATGACCCATGTTGTTCATGAAATCAATATAAAAGATGTAGCCATAGAGTGCAGCTACAGAGGATATTCTTGTGAACAACGGAGTCAACATTGGTATTGCAAATAGCGTGAAGTATGCTAAGTGCTCAGCAAATGGGTGAGTAACAGCTGTCAAAAGAATATTTTTTCCAAAACTATCAATGTTTTATTCGCCTTTACTTAACCATATATTAGAATATTCCAAATTGCACTTATTCTAAATTGTTTTATGCCATCGTTTATTTTTTTTTCACACAACTTACCAAAAAATCATATTAATTAGAGAAAATGCCTATATGTTCTCTCTCTTTCTCTCTGCAAGTTTGTTCTATCAAGTGAGAAAATGTAACGTAGCTGTTTCTAAAGGAATTCAAAGACAATGCTTCTGTCATGCTATCTCATTTCAAACAAATAATGAGATCTATTTAATCTATTAATGAACACTTTAAGTATTTTGCTTATTGATTAAGTGCATGTTATCTCCTAAAATGTTTAGTGCAATAAAATATAACGGGGAGCTATTTTATTTTTAGAGAACAATAGTGATTAAATATAAAAAATTGTGAATAATGATAAGGATTAGACATAACTACTTAAGTGGTGGCCAAGTATTTAGTTTTATTGTGGACGTAGAACATGTAAAAGTGAAGAAAGGATCATATATATACAGGTGATAGGCTCAGTGACTATGGAGGCATGGTGGTGAGAATGGTAGCGAGCGTAGAGAAAATGATGATGTAATCCTCTGTGTAACCAGTAGTAAAGGAACTCTACTGGTCCAGCATGTAAAATAGCTGTGAAAATCACACCACTTGTTCTCCACCAGGGCAAGTTAGAAGCCACAGGAAATATGGTATATCCTATATAATATAGGAGTGCAGTAAACAAAATTTGGTCATCCCTGCAATAATTACACAGTAACAATCTTCATTATTAGATCACATCCTTCAATTTAAAAAATATTTGCTATACTTTTTTAATTTTACTGTAATAAATAGATTAGTAAAATATGAAGAATAAAGAGAAATTGAACCAATTGCTTTCTCTGTCCACTTGTTGGAATTCAAGGCCTTTGTCAGTGATCTTGCATTTGCCTTTGGCAGTTTGATAGCGAGAGACAGAAATCCAGATCTGGTTGTGTAACATTCTCACCAATACGAATGGGAATATGAGATAGTACACTGGATCCGCTTCATTTGATATCAGAGAATACATGCTATGAGCAATCCATGGGGTTACAATCACGAACTTCATTTTCATTCCCATAAATCAAAGACATTAACACGTCAACCAATAAATGCTTTGTACAAAATAATTAAATGAAGAAGAGAGTATAGTAAAGTGAACCTTGAAGTTCCCAAGAGGCTTCCAAGGCCAATCTGTGAGAATGCCTGGTTTGCTAGCCATATTGTGTAGATATGGTGGGATGATGCATGAATGAAGGAAGGAGTATATATAGTGTTTGAATGAATGACATGCTCACCTGCAACCCATATTCATTAGATTCAGCTACGTATAATTTGGGGTGGGAAATAGTTGACTGTTAGCCATTCATTGATTCACTGTACAAGTTGGTTTCAGGTGAGGAATTAAAATTTAGCAAATTTTGATGTTCTTATGGCATCTATCACTTAGGGTTTGTTTTTAATTCTTTCTCCTTTATTTGTAATTTATGCAAAGATCCATCGATACAATAAGACTATAGCAATAAATAGGGTGGTCCATGGAGGTTAGGATCTTGTTGTCCGCTCCACCACATGGAAAATATTTATTATTCAACTTGCAAACTTCCTAACCGTCAAGTAGTGCATTTAGTCATTTTTAATCTGTTTGCAATTTTGTGCTATGTTAATTTAATTTATCTCTTTACCCCTTCTATTTTTACAAACTTATTCTATTGCAGATTTTAAGTTTCAAATTATAAAATAACATTCTATGTAGTTAGTTATTTATTTTACTTTCACTTAAGTAAAAGTACAAAAAATGCACTAACTAGAGAGTGCAGTTGTCACAAAAAATAGAGGAAATCCTATCCAAGTAAGCGACAACTGATGTGAGTTATTACATTAAATAAGTTAGCAAGATGATATGTAATAACATATTTTAAAATTATAATATTTATAATTTAATTTTTAATCAATTTTATAGTTAAAAATTTTTAAATATTAAATATTTAAATCAAATCTTTTAAAAATATTTTTTTTTTAAAAATTAATATCTTTTAAAAACATAATTGTTACCGTTACAAACATAAATGAATAATATAAGAATTATTCACAAGAGTTATAGTCAATATAATAAAACTCTTAAAGATAATAATTTGATTAGAGTCATTAAAACTTTATTTTTTTGGTTCTCATACTAAAGGTCAAGGTTCACATAAGAGTATTTGGTGTATCTCTACTCATTTTGCATCCATATATATTTAGTGGACACATCACAAAGAAAAAGATAAGTATAAACATTTATAAATCATGTCAAAAGAAAATACTTATACTTAAATGAATAAAAATTTATCCAAATAATCAATCAAACCAATCAACCATTTTAATTTCAATGTCTTTTGTTTGTGAATTCTTTATGTAGTAATTAATTAATTATTTAACATTATAAATTTTAGATTGAGATCGGGAGGTCTGTATTTGTAATTTGGCTAGTGCTATAGGTGATGAGAATCAAAGAAGACCTATTGAAGACAAAGATTTAAAGGCATTGGAAGAACTTCAAGGACTAATGACAAGGGTAAGGGCAAAGAGAATAAATGAAGACTCAGAAAAGATTGTTGTTGTCCTAATTGAAAGAGAGCTTAATTTGGAGTTAGAAAAGTTCAAGATGGTAAATTAATATACTTAAAGAATTTGGACTCTAATGAGTTTTATTAGAATTTAATTATTATGTTTAGTTTATTTATTTTAATATTAATCATTACTTATTTTGAGTTTTTATTTAGGATAAAATTTTATTATTTTATTTAGTTTATTTGAATTTAGGCTTGTTAGTACAAGAAGCCTATTAAAGTTTGTGTTAGTATTGATTTACAAGCATTAGACATATATAAGCTTTTGTAAATACACTTTTAATTAGTTTTGAATATAATTTGAGATTGAACACTCTTGTGAGAGCGTGTAACTCTAGGTTATTGAGTGAGCCAGTTTTCTTCGATTTTATTAAGAGATCAAGACTCTTGTGATGATAATTTCTTGGCTTATCAATCTTGCCATTGTGGCGCTATTTTCCATCCATATTCTATTTTTACTTTTTATTAATTTTATTCTTATTTCAATTCTTATTTGTACCTAATAATTTCATTTTTATTGTGTGAAATTTAATTCAAGATCGTTTAATTCGGCAACACGGTTTGTGATTGTCATCGTACATCTTCTCTCTTTATAGGAGACAGAACATAAGTGTACATTTTCATTTTATGGTCACTATTAAACCAATCATGGTATGCTCTAGTGTCTATCAGGATAAGTTAGTAGAATTTTCATTGCCTATGACAAGCTAGCCATACTTAGTTTCTTGTAATTCTTAGACACTCTCTTATTTCCTATAGTCATACTAATATTATTTTTTTCTCGCTTATATCGTGTCATATTCAACCACTTGTGAATTAATTCATATTCATAATCACAAACATAAATAATCTTACAACTATTATTTTGTCTAACATGTTCATTATCATATCTTTACATCAAGAGAACAATCAATTCTATGAACATGACCAATTTCAGATTTTATGCAATAATTTGTAAAATTCAAAACTAAATTATTACAAGTCCAAAAATTATGAATTCATCGAAGTTTTATTTTTTTTAAGTATCTAATTTCATATAAAAATATAAACAAAATTCAAACACTTCTAAAGAGCTAATTTAAATTCAGTTTCTCTCTACTGTTCATTTATTTTCTTTCTCAGTACTCAGCATATTGGACAATTTATAATAAATATATTTTAATTCCAAAATTCACAAAACTAGTGAGATTATTCTCTTTCAAATATCTATTTTTAAGGAAAAATACTTTCACAATTTAGACATTTATATATATCATTTTAAGTTCTAGTTTCTATCTACATGTCACAAGTTATCATATTTCAACAACATATTATGGAAAAAAATCATAGCTCATTCAATATAACACAAAAAATCATGAAATTAGTGACATTATTTTTCTTTAAACATCTAGTTTTACAAGAAAATACAACAAAAAATTTATCACTCACATATTTCAAAATGAAACACAATTTCTCTTTATTGGTCACAAAGTTTTACTTGCCTTTATTAGTCCAATGAAAAAATGCTAATTATTTTATTTTAAGTCCAAAAATAAAAAATTAGTGAAAATATTTTTCTTTAAGTGTCTATTTTCATACAAAAATATAAATAGAATAATGATATTTATGAATTTCAAAACAAAAATAGTTTACTTATATTGTTCTGAGAAAATTATTTTTCATACAACCATGTATTTGAAAAACTATAATTAATTAATTTTAAATCTAAATTGAGTAAAGCTGGTGAAAAATTTCTCATAATTCAGTTTTTTATGTAAATAAAATATCTATAAATTTTTTTGCAAAGAAATTTTTGTATTTTTAAAAAATTATAGTTTAGTCCTTAAATTTTATATTATTTACAAAATGTAATTTTTTCTCCAAACTTAATAAATTTTAGGTTGTCCAACACTTTTCTAATGAGTTCACAAGTCATAATTTATGTCTGCATAAGGTCTAAAACATTCTTTTGGTCCTACCATTTATGTGATCAAGTGTTTTGAACTTTTAAGGCATATTTTGAGTCAATTTTATGTATAATATATTTATGCAAATAAAACAAAAATTAATGATTATGATCTATAACTTATAATAAGTGATTATCTTACACAATCTTCTGTTAAATAAACTTTATAGTCGTCTAATTACAATAAAATAATTATAATTATAAATTATTGTAAAGAATTAATTTAAAAAAAATTAAATGTACTAAAAATTTTAGATATAAATTTTTATTTGACAAATTATAAGTTATACAATATCTATCTTTTATTATCTGTTATTGCATCGTATGTTAATTTATCTAATATATAATATTAAAATAATTTATACATCAAATTTACTATCAAATTTTATGAATAATATAATTTAATATTTTAACATTCAATTAATATAAAATTAAATTACAATTATATAAAAAATAAATTATGTAAATCACACGCATAAAATATCAAAATTTTGTAGTCTAAACCCATCCTTACCCGAAATGATGCCCCACCAACCCATCGTGTTGACCCACACTCCAAACTGATGAAATTCACCTGAAACTTGTATCCTTAAAATTTGACAAAATTAGAATATTACACCTCAATCTGATCCTAATGGTTGATACTCACCCCTAAGTTTAACCCAAAAAACTTCAATGAAACAAAATATTTGCTGTTAGAATTAAAACGTATAGGTAATAAACTCCATGTTATTTCATATATTGATAAGTTAATTAACTATTTAAATTGTGATAACGCTAACTAAAATTATTCAAAAAGTCAAAAAGAAATTATTAGCATTACATAATAAAATAATTGATGTTAAAAGTGAAATGTAATAATAATGTATAGTTTCATCAAAGTCCTGTAAACAAACTATGCTGCATATTATTTTTTATCATTACCAATGAATGTGGATAACTCACTATTAATCTCTGCTTTGTCTTTGGTATCTCTAAGAAATAGAGGAATCTCATAGTTGAACAGCTTTCAGAGATTCTCACAGTTGTTGTTCAACCATATCATATCAGTAACCAAAGGTGATTACTCCATTATCTTTATATTTTAGGAAATACTAACATATATTTTATTTAGACCAATACAAATTAATGATGTATATATAATTCAAATCATATTATCAATTAGTAAAATTAATTTTAATGATTTATATATAAATTTTGCAACAGTTCTTACGTGATTTATTTTCTTTTTTAGAAAACCAATATTAAATCAAATCTATTGAGTATCAAGATAAATTATATTAAAATTAATAAAAAAAATTAGTTATATTTTTAAAATTTACAAGAAAAGATATTACTATAAAAATCTAGTAAAACATAAGATAAAATATATTTATGTTGAAAAAATAGATGAAGTGTAAAAGGGCTATTGATTATAACATAATTTAAAACAATTTATCAATACTGAATATTTATAAATAAATATATTAATGTCACATTTTAAACTAAAACCTTCAATATTCAATTTTGAAAATTTATTTGTTTGTTTTATTACAAAATAATTTTATCTAGTAAAATAATTTAATAATGATTAAATATTCTAAATTTAAGAAATTTTTTTCATATATACATTTTTTATTCAACATATATCATGCATATATTCATAAAAATTTGACATATAAAATTTAAATAATTATTAGTTATACATTCAAAAATTAAATTAAATAAATATTTTTACAATAATCATTATTACAATACGTAAGAATAAAATAAAAAATTAAAATTTTTTAATCTGTACCAAGGTCATTTAACCATTAAATGTTTAAAAGTTTTAAATAATATATTAATTTAAATGTGGTACATTATCAATATAAATTTTTTACACTATTAGTAAATTAAAATGCATCATAATATAAATTTTATATTAATTATTATTTTTAGTCCTATTTATAAGAAATAGCGATAAGTAATTTTTTCAAAATTTTTAAAATAAAGACATATTTTTAAATACATTAATGATTATAATTTTTCTATACTTCTATTCTGTGAAATATACGTTAATAACATACTCTCACCTTTTATCTATATTTATTCATTAATATATATATATATATATATATATATATATATATATATATATGGGAAAGATTAAATTATATCAATGTTAATTATATTTACATTTACACCATTAATAATTAAATATAAAAAATAATATTCATCGATTATCAAATTATAATTATATATAACTTATATTATTTGTGTTAAATTTGGTTAAAATCAAATGTTCATAAAATTGTTATTAAATTATTCTTATTTTCATAAATTTTAAAATGTATATTATATTAATTTTAATGTATATAAATAAAATATCAAATAATTTTAAATAAATTTCAAATTTTACATGTATGATTTAAGTGATTGAAATTTTTAATCTAACAATTGATTTTAAAATTGAATCATTTAAAAGAAATATTGAGCGATATAAAACAGCATAATTTACATGATATAATTTAATATTTTTCATATATAAATATATATATGATATTTATTTCTTATAGAACTAAAATAATATTAAAAAATTAACGATTTTGTTTAATATGATAATTTATATTAAATAACATTGTAAAAGATTTATATTGTTAGTATATTTAAATTAAATTTATAAATTATATCCAAAGTTCTATATCATTTATAAGATAAATTTTATATATTTTATTTATTTATCTTTGTATATGATTTGAAATCTTAATTTTCAAATAAAAATATTTTAAAGAGTTATCTTAAATAATAATATTTTTATGTATTAATTATCTTGCATGCGACTTTTTATTAATTTTTTAATTTAAATTTTATATTTTAATTATATTCATATTTGTTTATTTTAAAAATTTTAATTCTTTAAATTATTCTTATTTAATATAATAAATTATTTATGAGTAATAATTAAAATATTTATCTCTTAAATTTTATTACATTATTAAATTTAAAAATTAATTAAAAATATATTTTATGCTAGCTAATATTTATAGTTAATATAATAAGGTATTTATTGGTAATAATTAAAATATATTAAATTCACACTTATTGTGGTTTTTCATTTTTATGTATGCGTACTTTGATTTGTGCAATACGCTAAACAAAAGAGAAAACATTGTACTTTTTTAATTTCCTAACAACTTGTTAGCAATACCCTTAAAATAATATTTTAATTTACTAATATTTATGCAATGCACAGAAAATTTAAAATTTGTCCATCAATTCACATAAAAAAGTACTATTACCTTTCCAAATATAGAGTTATTATATAAAAATAATTTTCTTCATTTTTTTAACAAATGATAATTAGAGTCTTTATTGAAATTAAAAAATATAATAAATACATCTTGTATTTCGTAACTTTTAATGCAATATACCATAATTTTTAATAAAAATATTTTACTTCTAATTTTTTAACCAATATCCCGAGGTACTAGTTAGCAAGTTTTTTAATTATAAAAAATTTAAAATTATTTTTAAATGTATTAATCATTAATTTTTTTATATTTTTATTTATTGTGATATATGCCTTACCGAGAAACTTATTCATTATTATATATAAATAAATATAATCATTTGTTTAATACATAAGTATTAGTTTATTTATTTAATATTATAAGTTTAAAAAGAAAAAAAGTAAAATATCTATTCGGTGATAGAAGGAAAATAGAGGATAGCAATAAAAACCTTCATAAATGCCTTCCACGCCCAAAGAAGTTTCAAGCAAAAGTCAAAAGCACCCAAATTAATTGCTATTACTATTTCAAATTAAAAAGGACACAGCCTTTCCCTCTTATAAACTCTTCCTCATTCAAACTACCCTTTTACTCAAACTGATGGTCAACTGGCCCAGAAGAAATTAAAAAACAAACAAAAAATTAAAAACAAAACGTTTATGAACTAGAAGAAAACAACATTTCCTTTTAAAAATTTTAAGAAAGTGCAAGAAAGTCAACACCACCCTCTCTTCTTTCTCATGCTGGTTAAGATCAACCCTGTTCTGTTTCTGTTCTGCTCTCTCCTCTGTTCTCTGTTTTTTCCTCTGCAATGCAAGTTGTTCTGTTTTCAGTATTGCCATACCCACATCCAAAGCTCAAAACTTGAACCTCACAATCACTTCCACTCTCCAATGGGTAACCGAATCGGTAACCTCTGCCTCTGTTCCGCCGGCGCCGGCGAAATATCCGGCAGGTTCGAGAACAGAGCTTCCTTCCTCTCCAAGCAACATGACAGAGCCCTTGGAAATTCCATCTGCTACGTGAGACCGGACACGTGTCAGTTTTCCGGCGATTCCATTTCCGACGATGACGTCACTCTCATGACTTTCCGGTCAGTTTCCGGTGCCACCGTGAGTGCAAACCCGTCAGCGACACCGTCAACTTCACTCGATAATTCCCTTCAACACGGCACCGTTTTGGACTCCTCTGCTTCGTTTGAGAGCTCTGGTTCCTTCACTTCGACGATCATGGTGCCTTTTCAACACCAACTTGCTCCTCGTGGATTCTCTGTGGGAAGGTCCACGGAAAGAGAGTTATCTTGGGGTCGTTGTGATCGTGTGGTGAATGGTGCAGGCTCTGTTGAGAAAGGTTCTTCTGAAGCCCCTTTAAAGAAGTTGAAGAGAAGTTTGTCACATGGCGGATATGTGTTTCAGAACAAAACAAGTAAGCGTAGCTTGAAAAGGGTTCTGAATAGAGCGTTTTTCAGTTTTGGAAAAATGTCCATTTTCAAGAAAAATGATAACTTCAATGCGAGAGTTAGTTGTAGTACAAGTTTGAGTGCTGAGTTGAGTTTGCATGGTGTTGAGGGTGATAATAACTATTTGGATGATGATGGTGATGGGTGTGATGTGTTAAAGGGGTGTGAGAATCTTCACTGGGCTCAAGGGAGAGGTGGTGAGGATCGTGTGCATATTGTGATTTGTGAGGATCATGGATGGGTTTTTGTGGGGATTTATGATGGGTTTAATGGCCCTGATGCCACTGATTTTCTTCTTAACAATTTGTTTTATGCTGTGTATGATGTCGAGCTCCAGGGGATGTTGTGCAGTCAAAAGTCTCATGTGGTGGAGTTAGAGGAGAAAATGTTATCAGTTAAGCGAAATGGGGTGGTTGATGGCTGTTGTTCTTCAGGTAAGAATAATGAGAACAATCCAATAGGAAATGAAGAGTTAAATTTAGAATGTGTGTCAAAGAGATTAGAAGGAATGAATAGGAATAAAGAGGTGAATGGTGAAAAAGTGGTAGAGTTGAGTCACTCAGAAGTGTTACAAGGTCTTTCAGAGGCCTTGAGGAAGAGTGAGGATGCATTCCTAAGGAATGCTGATGAGATGATTGCTCATAGCCCTGTGTTGGCTATGATGGGTTCTTGTGTTTTGGTGGTGTTGATGAAGGGTCAAGATGTTTACTTGATGAATGTGGGAGATAGTCGTGCTGTGTTGGCTACTAACACTGGCAATTCCCTTCAGCTCACCATGGAGCATAGCACTCATGTGAAAGAGGTAGCTTGTTTTCTTAGCATTGAAGATTGGTCTTTCTTAAGGTTCATGTTACTTAGTTTGTGAGATCTTTCTTAATCTCAGGAGGTTTACAGAATCAGGAGGGAGCACCCAGATGACCCTTTTGCAGTAACTAAAGGCCGAGTGAAAGGTTGCTTGAGTGTCACAAGGGCTTTTGGGGCAGGGTTCCTTAAGCAGGTAATTTGATATATGATAGCCAATGCTAAATTGCTTATATTACTGCAATAAATAAATGCAATGTTAGTTTCAGGCTCCTATACTAGGGTAAGTTATCCTTACCTTTTTCCATGTTTTACAAAATTACCCTGATCAGCCTCAATTTATACCATAACATAATTATATACCATTTCCATAAATCAAGAAAGGTTAACATAATGTAAAATATATATATATATATATATCGAATATAATGTCATTAAATTTCATGAAGCGTGAGTACAGTTTGTCCATTAGATTATTGATTTTGTTCTTCATTGCTCAATGTAATTTCCTTAATTATCAGTTAAACCAAGTAACCATGGCATGACTCTTGGTCTATTTTGCAGCCTAAGCAAAACAATGCAGTGTTAGAAACTTTTAAAGTGAGATACATAGGGGAATCCCCATACATCACATGTTCCCCTTCACTCCATCACCACAGGCTGAGCCCACATGACAAATTCCTCATATTGTCATCTGATGGGCTTTACCAATACTTCACCAATGAAGAAGCAGTCGCCAAAGTAGACTCATTCATCTCTATGTTTCCAGATAGAGATCCTGCTCAACTTCTTATTGAAGAAGCACTAAGTCGAGCAGCAAAAAAGGCTGGTAAAATGCACTTTTCTTTAACTACTAAGCCATTTATTTATAAGCTTTTTAAAAAATGACTTTATATTAAAAAAGTTATTTATAAAAAAGCATTTTAAAAGGTAGTTATTTCAATATGTTTTTTAATAAAACATACAATATACTGATTTCTTAAGCAAGACCCTTGTTTTAAAAGGTAGTTATTTCATCCTTTTTCCCAATTCTACTCAAAACAACTCAAATTTACTAGAATTTTATTTCAGATTCTTTTTTTTTTTTTTCAAAAGCTTAAATAAACGCACCAAAAAAATTTTAAAGTAAAGATTTTAAAATAAAACTAATTTTTCATGAAGGAAAAAAGTTAAACAAACAGACTATTTCAATCAGAAAGAAATTCAAATAAGTCAAAACAATCATAGTGAAGCTTGACTTTCATTGGTTCAGGGATGGAGTTCCATGAGTTGCTTGACATTCCACAAGGGGAACGGCGTCATTACCATGATGACATTTCTGTTGTCATAATCTCCTTGGAGGGAAAAATATGGCGTTCACTTGTGTAAATATACATATGAGATATAAGTATACAACAACTTAGTTCAGAGTCAATGACATTGAAAGCTTTTTCCCTTCTCTTGTTCTTGTTTTATTTTTTAGTTATCGAGTTTCAACATTCTTTTTTCAATACCAAAGTTTCAAAATTATAAGTACCTTTCACAGGATCATTTATATCATAGTTCGGTTCAAATTTAATACTTTACTTAAAAGGAATCAAGTTTATACGACTTGAACCAATCTCATTGGCAGAAAGGACTAATTTTGTTTTGAAGGCTTCTCAATCTTCTGTTTTCTTTCAAATACATTGCAAGAGAAATATAATAAAGTATAAAATTTTGTTTAAATAATAGATCTCTAACAAAAAGGCATGAGATTGCTAAAAGATCCTCATTTTTTTTGTGCTAAATTGATCAAGCTTCTAAACTATTAGTTTCAAACAGTGAGAAACTGAAGAGGGGACCAGAAAACATTTTGATATTATGTACTGTTATTCAAAAGCTATAGTCAACCTATTAAGGAGTAGGAAGTAGACTTGGATATAAAATGCTGATAGTCAAAGAACGTGTCTTTTTTATTTTCGAACTCTTTATGGTTGAAATTAATTATTATTTAGACATAACTTATGGCAAATTGATTTTGAAAACAAAGTTTTAATTAGCTTGAGAAAAGTATACCGCACGACTTTTTCTGATTGTTTAATAGCCAGTCGTTGTCTCCAAAAGATGTACAAATCATGCATGACAATTCACGAAGCAATCTAGAAGATATGAACTTCAACTATACTGTGTACAGTGATAGCACCTAACACTAGGAGTCGTTGAAGAGAAGCAGTAGGTCTACGATAACTAGAAAATATTGAATTAATTATAAAGTCACAGACCAATCTCAACCAAGATGTTTTAAATATGATATAGGTCTAAGATCTTTTATATGTACCCAAGTGAATCATTCTCTAAAATGCACTACCCATTATGAATGCTTTAAGATCATCCAAGTTGGAGACTCAGAGCTCACCCGGAAAAATCTTTTTACCATATTATGTATATATTGACTTCAACTTTTGTTGCATTAGGTGATGACATCGTAGAAGCTTCTTATCACGGTGAATCTTCCCTTTGCTAACCTTCTGTCAGAAACTACCGTTAAAAGTAATTAATATATTAATTTTAAAAAATTAACTATAATATTGACTTTTTTTTTAATTAAAGTCAAACTTTATCATTATATTAATAATTAAAATTAGAAATAAAAATCAATATGTAAAAACTAATAAATACTCAAAACTTTAAAAAGAATATAATATTAAAGACCATTAAAAAAATTGTAAGAACCTTATAAAAAAAAATTGAGTATAATCTCTTTTATGTGTTTTTTTAATTTTAATTTTAGTTTTTGCATTATTTGTTTTCTTATGATATCAAATTATCAATGCTCGATATTTAATTTTTGTTTTGTAATGTGATGGCATCATGGCATTGTCTCGTTGTGGTGACTCGGGACAACTTGTGTTAGATATAAAATTAATTAGGTGTTTCACCTAATTTTTAAGGAGATTTGTTAACATGCACAAATTGTTATAATTTACTAGCATATTCCAACAAAAATAAGTAGATATACATTAACAATTATGCATACTAATACATCCACTAATTACATTACAAGTTACCCTTCTAGTGTATTTAAAAAAATTATAATTTATTAACATACTCTTACAATTTATGTTAGAACATATATGAACAAATCATGCACATGTAATGGTGGGTAACCAAATCCCACCACCGTCATCATTTTGCTGCTTTTGTAGCTTCGTGAGAGAGCGAGAACGAACAGTGAATTAAAATTAAAAGAAGTGCTTGTGCTTTGGGTTGCAATAATCTATGTAAAGAAACAATCTCTCCGATTATAAACTAACAAAGATTAATGACACAATATGACTTGCACTGTTCCACAAGCATCACCTGTGGATAATTAATGCATAACAAATGGAAAGTACACCAAATTGGTCCATTCTTTCAATGTTCAGAATGCATGAGATAAAATTTTAAAAGAGGACCAACAGCCAGATATTATTTTATCTATTTTAATGAGCATCATTGTTATTATAATATTTATTAGTTAGTAAAATCCTCAGAAATTTTAAAGGAAAAATAAGTTGAATTAGAGTGGAAGCAATCTGTATTAATTCAGACATGCCAACCACAACTTAATCCATCTTAGCTTCTCATATGATCAGGCCTAGGAAGAACATTTCTGCAATGTATAATAATTTTAAGAAAGGAAAACACTCACATCATAATAAACGCAAATGAGAAAAGAAAGAATTTCTTCTCTTGAAAAGCATCACAAAGAGTTACCAACAACCAATACAAATAATCCATAAACTGTAGTCAAAATGGCAAAGTTGAACCAACCTTAACCTCATTCATTGGTTATCAACCAGCACAAGATGCAGTGTCACAATAGCATACCTTCTTGTTCCAGCTAAAGAAATCCGAATAATTTTGACACATCAAGCTAAGAAACATCACATATTTAATACACAAATTTTCGAGCAGCACAAATCATACCACTGCCACATAGGTATATCTAAGGGTAAGCTCTAAACATATTTATTTAGTCAGGTATCAAGGAAAATCTCACCAGACCAGACCAATCAATATTGCAACAGAACAATCTATTTTACAGTTCCTCAACTGATCGAATCCATAGGGTATATCAAAATGCAAAACAAGAATACAGGGAAAACCATGACACTGCATGAACTAAGAATTCAGTTTTGATCGTATCTTACTGTAAAATTTTTCAAGTTATCATCCAACATAATGATGTGGCATCATATGATTAGATGATACTATAAAAAAAAAATTAGAGCTTAATTTTGGTGTATTATGTGTGAAAATTCTTGTACTGTCAACTAATTAGAATACATCATGAATATGATTTTCATATTAATTATTACAATAATCATTATTAATATGACAAGCTGGCCTAGAATAGCAACTATAAAATCTAGCCCATGGTCAATGACATACCTATCATAAATGTAGTTTATGAGGAAAACAAGGTGCAACACTTCTTTACAAACAGACTTGGTAAAAACAATCAGTTATTGTACCTTCCAATGACTTGATTATCTTTATGAAGTTCAAACACAGTAAATACTCATTGAGGGTGATTTCTTTTTAACACCAACAACAATAACTAAATCATATTTCATTAAGTGAGATAAACTACATAGATCACATGACGACATTGAACTCGATCAAAAACTAAATTTTTAAAAATTTGGTTAATCAAAATATCTCCTTTAATAACTTGTCTAAAGTACTTTTGGATCTCCCTTGACCCGTCTTTACTGGATTAAGAGTTATGCAATCCACTTTTTTTACTGGTACCTCCAAAGGTCTTCTGTCCACATACCTTAGACAATTTTCAGTCATATTTTTCACTATAGGTGTTACTCCAATATTCTCTTGTAAACTATCATTTTGGAAATGAGGCAATAATCACTTATAGAATTTAATTTCCATAAGTGATTAATATATTTGGAATTTTATTTCTAGAAGATACAAAAAAGAAGGGTGGTGTATTCAGAAAAAAAGGGGTGCAAAAACAAATTTCTCTCATTGAGCAGTCAATAATGGAATGAGACTCTCCCATCAGATACCGGAACCTGTAGAATCTAGTTATTAGATACACTCAGGTTCAGTTTCCATAGCCTTATTTATTCGTCAAGCACTCCACAAAAGGACCATGTAATGCAACATGCAAATATTCACCCATTCCCTTTGTTCCAGGAATTCATTCCCAGCTTTGGGCAGACAACAAAAACATAGCCTGCAATGCAAAACAAACAACAGAATTAGAGATTGACAAAACCCATGCCACAATCCAGAAATTGACAGTAGTAATTGAATAATCACAGGCTACCCACCCATGTCACCATATTTTTATAATGAACTTTCCATAAGTCGAAGGGGATGAAGATGATGATTAAATTTTGTAATGAAGAAACTTGGGGTTGATGAGCAACCATAATGGTCTGCCATTGTAATTGATCAAATTATGGACAAAAATCCAGTAAAGAAATGTTCCCAGTCAGTCAATTGATTAACACTTCGTAGTTCACTAACTGGAGAGCATACAAGCTATAAGAATACCTCTGCATCAGATAAAATTGCCCTGCGTTCAATCTCCTTTTGTCATCACATCACCTTCCAAATCAGATACAACAACACATCCCAAAAAGTTTCCATTATGACACTGCATTCTCTATTAATATCCTATCAAGTTCAGCTGCATTGCCATCTAAATTGCCCACAACATGTTTTAAGAAAAGATCCCACAATTCACCATCAACTCCAGTTGATGCAGCCAGTGAAACTACCTTGTCAATTTCTTCTTTCATTTCACCTGAAGCAGAAAGCCCATCAATCAATATTGAGTAGGTCAATTTGTTAGGCAAACAACCACTTTCCAACATCTCCTCCAGAAGCCTGACACCCTCCTTCACATTGCCAACCTTACAAAACCCTTTAACCAACACATTATAGGTAAAAGAATTAGGAGCACGACCCTTTTCCACCATGTCATCCCACAGCCTTCCTGCCTCGCAAAGCTCTCCTCTCTCACACATCCCATCAATCAGTGTGTTATACGTCAAGAGACTCGCAACCGACCCACTTTCCAACTCATCAAGCATGCTCCTTGCCTCCAACACCTTCCCCTTCTTGCAAAGCCAATGCACAATCGTACTCACAAGCGCACCATCAGGCCGACAATTCCTCCTCAAAAGCCTCCTCCACACCTCTAAAGCCCTCTCAACATTCCCTTCCTCGCAGAACAAATCAACAACCTTACAACACAACGCCGAACTCGGGATATAACCCTTCCCAAGCATATCCTCGAGCAAGTTAACCGCTTCCCCAGACTTCCTCGCCTTACAATAAGCCTCAATCATAACACCATAAGAAACCTCATTAGGCTCAACCCCATTCTCCTCCATCTCATCCATAACCCTAATTGCATCAACCAACCTCCCTAACCTACAAAACCCATTCATCAAAACAGTGTAAGTAGTTACATCAGGCACCCACCCTCTATCCAAAATCTCACCAAAAACACTAATTGCACTATCCATATCACCCCTCCACACATATCCACCCAAAACAGTGGTATAACTAACCACATTAGGCACCACACCCATTGCAATCATTTCATCCAAAACCCGAACCGCAACATCAACCCCGTTTTTCTTACAAAGCGCCTTGAGCAAGATGTTAAAGCTAACCACATTGGGCACAACCCCAAATCTATCCCTACAACTCTTGAACACCAAATGCACCAAACGGTACCGTCTGTTCTGAACCAATGCGTTGAGAAGAGCATTCAGGGACCTAATGGAGGGTTGGACACCAAGGGATTCGAGTCTAAGGAAGGTTCTGAGGGCATTTTCGGGTTTCCCGGCGAGGCCGTAGCCGCGGATGACGGTGAGGAGAGGTTCCTCGCCGCATTGAGAAGGGAGGCGCGTGAGGAGGGACTCGATTTGGGGGAAGAGTCGGGCGCGTGAGAGTTTGAGGAAAATGGCTTGGTAGGTTTGGGGGTTGTGGGATAAGTGAGGGTAGTGGTTCTGGGCGTAGTGGAAGATTTGGAGGGAGAGGTCGGGGTTGTGCTGGCGCGTGATCAGGGATGCTAAGAGCTTCGGGTTGAGTCTGTGGGGCCAGGGCTTTACTGGAGGCTGGATTTTGTACGACTCAGGGAGGGTTGGGGCGGGAACGGAATTGGCGGCGATGGCGGCGGCTGTGGCCGTGGAAAATGGGAGAAGCTGGTGGACGCGCTGCGGTGAAGTACATGACAGCGTGGAGGGGAGCATTGGCAACCGCAGAGTGTGTGATCAAGAGGATGCTCAAAGTACAGTTCCTCCTTCCAGTTCAAATTATATAATTCAGTGGGTTTGTAAATTAATATAATAAAAATTAATAAATAAAATTTTTATTAAAAATTATAATTTTTTTAAATAAAAATTTATTGTGTATAAAATTTATTCCTTATCCATTATGCATTCTTTTTCTCTAGAGGGAAGTTTGGATTTGTATACAAAGGAATTCATGTGATGGAATACTGCCGAAAACTCCATTCTTCTCAAAGAACAGGGTGCAACCACTTAACCTGCAATTACAAAAATAATTAATCTCAAGTGTGTTAAACGTTATCTCAATAATAGAAATATTATTAGAAGCAATCACAAAAATGTTATAAATAGTTGATGATAGGTTTATGACCTATTACAAGTAATCAAAAATCATGTTTCAAGTATTTGATCTTAGGTTCATGATCTCACTTTGAATGTCGTTATTTTCGCTTGGACAGAAGGCACTATTGCTAATCCATAAGAAGATTTTCAAGAACGACATTCAATGTGACTAAAGAGAAGAAGGAACAATTGCGTGATGACAAAGTTGTGATAATTTATGAGTTATGAGTTTAAAAATTCACCATAATTTTATAGAAGCAAATCTACTCCACACCTGTATAAGTGGTTTTATCAAGTGTACATTCCAATTCATTCCACCCCCTATATGGATTATGTGTTTAACTAAGAAATTATACAAATTATAGTTAAATAACCTCTAAAAATATTAAATATATGTCAAAATATAATTTAATTGTAATTTCATCAATATATTAAGTTGAAATATGTCTCAAATTTTTATCTCAACAAACTTAAAATAAATATTAAAAATAAATTTAACTCCAATAAACTTTTAAAATATATATAAAAAAATTCAAACAACTACCATGCATTATACATGCACAAGTAAATTATTTGTTATAATTATAGCCAAAATATTGTTTGTATAGCAAAAAAAATTACTTGCTAAAACACGTTTTCAAAATTATCCAGTTTTTAAAATTATTATATTTATATTTTAATTTTTTGTTTTTTACAACTTAAATACATCAAGTTATTAAATATTTATAATAGACTCAGGAGAAAAAGTAAAATATTTGATAGGATCTGTTTAAGAAACGTGGAAAGTAAGAGAAATTTAAATATTAACAATAAATTGTATATTGTTAGTTTTATTATTGGAATGTACAACAAATGTGGCATGTGAAGGATGTGTGCACGAGTTACTAGTTAATAAATTTGCAAGAACAATTTTATAGAATAAAAGTAAAATATCTTAATTATTAATTTATTTTTAAATATATCCAATGATTAAAACATTGTGATGCAATTATGTATCACTTAAATGTTAATTATGGTGTCTAAAATATTGCACCAAATTACCCAGTGGAAGACCCAAGTCCTTATTTAGTATTTACAAAATAGAAAAAGTAAAGACAACATGCATCATACACCGTAGCATTAGGTACGAGTGTTAGTGTGTTTAATATTAAACTAAACTATTTTCAAATTGCTAAATTGATCCGAAAAAATTAAAAATAAATTGATTCGAAAATGGATCGAATTAAAAATTGTATTTTATATTATTGTTTGGTTCAATTTTAGATTTTCATTCTTAAAATCAAATTAAATCACATTTATAATAAATTTATATTATTTTTATAATATTTTTTACAAATATATTTTTTTACTCAAATTTATTATAATATTGTATAAATATATAATACATAACTTCTATTTACTTTAGATTTTTCTCTTTATAAGTTAAATATCCTTTCTTTATTTTGTTAGGTCTGGAATTTTCTCTTTAAAGTTTTTTAATAATGAATTACAATATTTCTTTGATTTTAAATTTTATTGTATTTAATTATGGTGCTAAGAGGACTTATCTAAATCTATAGCCTTCATATATTACTTTACTTTAATGGTCTTGATTTTTGTTTCTCTTCATCTCTGCCCCTTTCTTTAAAGTTTTGATCTCTTGAAATTTTTTCTAACTCTTTCTTCCTTATGTACATACTTTTTTGGTTACATACTAATATTTATATTTATAATTGCTTTTTTTATACTTTTAAAAGGAGAGAGGAAGATCTTTTCTTTTATTTGAAATTACTAATTAGACCCTCTCTATCTTTTATAATTAACAACTATCTTATTCAACCTTTAAATTAGAGTTAGGTCATAAATTACATGGTTCATTTAATAAATTATTAAAAAATAATCTAATAATTTCTTATTTGACCTTTGTGATGACTTGAAGATTTAACAAACTATAAGTGCGCATTATATATTGAAATTATCAAGTCATCATCTTTATTTGATTTGAAATGATTGGACAATGGCGATCACAAGTTCTTAAACAATAAGATTCCTTCTAAATATAACATAACCAACTCAAATCAAATAATTATTAAAATAATTTACTATGAATTGTGATTTAATGTGTTTTCAATACTCAACCTATTGTCATACTAAAGCAATACATAGACATAACACAATTATAATAATAAGTAAATAAACATAAATAATACTTTTATTAAATTCACAAGTGTCACAATAATGTGAGCAATACAATCCATACATATACGTAAATCATGCTATTATGTTAACAATGACTTATCTATAATAATATCCATTCTTTTAACATGGCCAGAAACATTTTGGGCAACAATCCCTTAATTAATGGATTTGCCATCATCAATTCAATACTAATATGCTAAATAAAGACTTTTTGTTTTTATGCATCTTTTTTGACTGATAAGTACTTCAAGTTTATATGCTCTTCCTTTGACTACTAATCATTCTTAGAGATAAAAACAGATACAAAATTATCACAATACATTTTTAACCGCTTGTTTATACTATCAACAATATCAAACTCTAGGACAAAGTTTCGCAACCACAATTTGTGAACAATAGTATCAAAGCATGTCACAAATTTTACATCCATAGTAGATGTAACAATAATGAACTATTTTTTATTCTTCAATTAAATTGTACCTTTAGCTAGTAGGAAAATGTAACTAAAGGTGGATTTCATAAAGTCTACACACTTAACATAGTTTAAATCCGAGTAACTAATCACTTCAAGATGATAAGATCTTTTGTATATAAGTATGTAATTCATAGAGCCTTATAAATACCTAAGGACTTTATTTGTATCCTTCATCTATTATGGGATTACTTTGATATCAATCTAAAATTCTAACAAAAAAATTGATATTTGGTCGAATACATGTCTGAACATACATTAAACTCTCAATCACTATGCATAAGGAATAAATTCCATTAATTTCCATTTCAACTTATTTTTGGGACATGGATTTCACTAAACTTATCTTTTCTTTGAATTGGAATCACCTTTGATGAACACTTTTTCATTTTGAATCTCTCGAAGACTTTGTTAATATAACCTTTTTGAAACAATCCTAACAGTCCTTGTGATCTATTACGAAATATTTCTATTTTTATCACATAGGATGTTTCACCCATATCTTTCATCTCAAAGTTTCTAGAGAGAAATTTTATTACATTATGCAACAAGCCAACATCATTTGTAGCAAGAGAATATCATCAACATATAGAACTAAAATAATGTACTTGTTCCCACTAACTTTCATATCAATACACTGTCAACGATATTTTTTATAAAATCATATGATATAATGATATCATTAAAGTATCATTGTCTAGAAGTTTGTTCCAACTCATATATTAACTTCTTTAACTCATACATTAAAATTTCTTTTTCTGTGGTCAAGAAACCATCTAGTTGGTCCATATAAACTTACTCTTCCAAGTTATCATTTAGAAAGATAGTCTTTACATCCATTTGGTGAAGTTCTAGGTCATAATGAGTCACTAAAACTATAACAATAGTGTCCTTTGAAACTGAAGAGAAAATCTATTTATAGTTAATGGAATCCTTTTGAGTGTACTCTTAAGCAAAAAGTTTAGCTTTATACCTTTCAATATTATTTTTTAAGTATAGCTTGGTATCCATTTACAACTCACTCGTTTTGAACTTTCAGGAAACTCGCTAGCTTACTTTGTTGTCATTCATTAATTTTAACTTTTCTTTTATAACATTTAATCACTTTTCAAAATTATTACATTCATTGACTTGCTTAAATGAGATTGGATCTTCATCATTACTTTAGTCACATTCATGCTTAAGTGAGTAAACCACATAATTATATAAAATAATAGATTTTTTCTACTTTACATAAGCAACTTTGCTTGAATATATGTACTGCGAACATCATACTTTAATCATTTATGTTGATCCCTCCAAACAAGCACAAACTTATCACTAAATGTCTCTTCTATTACAAAGATCTCTAGATCGTGAAACCTATTTAAAAAATATTTTTTACTTGTATTTGCATTTTAAGTCAGACCATAAGTTACATTGATCATTTAATAAATTATTAAAAAAATATTTTTAGATTTTTATTTTTCTCAATTGAATATTTTTTTTTTACCTCTTTATCAATAATATTTTTTCAATTTTATCCTTTTAATCATAATTTCTCTTTCTATTTTTTATTTTTCCAACAAATTCATTTTTATTTTGGGCTACTATTTACTCTAAATTTTTATTTCCAATAGATATTTTGTAGTTCAATTTAATTCAATTTTTAAATTAGATTCAAACCAAATTGAAATGCATCTTATTTTTATGTGTAGTTTGATGGTTCATATGATTTTTTTTTTAGTAAAAATTAAATTGAATCGATTCCCTTAATGTGCATAAAATCAAGTCAAACACAAATAATTTATTTTTTTTAAAATTAATTTGGTTTAGGATAAATTGGTTTCGAAACTAGCTTATAAACAAAATTATAGTTCGTGATGTTATTAGACCGCTTTCAACATGGTAGTAGAAAATTATAGAAGTCCTGTATGTAAATTTCAATTTGGGATCCTCTTCACTTTATGCAGTAACAAAGCACTTCAGTTTCTTCCATTAGTAAATTTATTTTTGATTAAAAAAAATTGAAATTGAATTGTCCTTTAGAGCGAGATGTTTGCTTAAGCGAGAAATATTTCACTTAAGCAAATCTATTTTTTCTTAAACAGTTAAACATAGAACCATGTTTCTTAAAGTTGCTCCTCTTTTTCTCTCCTCAAAGTCAACAACAATCACTTGCTCCCACTATTTAACTCTTCTTCTTTTTCATTGCCCTTTGTTGTTGGCTACTCTCATGGCAAAAGTAGGAACAACTTGGTTACATGGCCACGAAGAACTCCAATAATAGTCCCTTAAATCAGTGTCTGTTTTGAACCCCTTTGAAGAAGAGAAGAAGAAGCACAACCTTGTTTCCACCGTAACATAAGTTTTCATTGCTCACATTGGCAATTTGGGAAAGCATTGGCATAGTGGCAATTAATGATAACAATGATAGTGGTGGTGAATTTGTAATTATTAAAAGTCTTATTTTTTCATACAATTCTTCAAAATCTAATTTGTTTTTTCTCTTTACAACGATGAAATCAATGCTTGGACTGTAAGACTTTAAATGTCTCATGTGAGGAGCATGTGATTTGTCTAGGGTCTAATAAGTAATTAATTAATTATTAAGGACTAAATTGTAATTGAGTAAATAAGAAGCGGTTTCATAAATTTTAAATAATTGCTGTTTGATGGAAATAGTGAGTGAAACGGTTACGATTAAAAACGTGTGAAACAGGTTCTCTTCCTGACTGTAACGTATTCTCTCCCTTCACCATCAATAACGTAGAGATAATAGAAGGATAAGTACAAGGAGGTAGAAATCGGTTTTTCTCTCACATAGAAGAAAAGTCATCAAGATTTATTTGTTTCTTTAATAATGGACAGAGGTTAGTCAATTCGTTCATATGAGAATCATGATATTTAAAGTTTCAAATAATTATATACCTTTTTTTTTGTTAAAAACTTACATAGACAAGTGAAATGTTTCTCTTTCTTATATAAATAGTTTGTTCCAAAGAACATTCTAATTTTGATTTTGCTTAAAAAAAAAATTCTCCTAAGAAAAATCAAAATCGAATTGACTCTTTCCACGGAGGATCTAAACTTATAAACTTCATGCTACATTTTTATCTCACCCCAAAAGATTAGGAACCACGTGTTTGCCTATTTGATTAGGTGAAAATCCAAATAAATAATTGGTTTAAAGTAGACTTTATAAAAGAAATCGGTTAAAAATATTAAATAGGTAATAAACTTGTTACTCTAATGGTTTAGATTTTTTAAGTGGTTTTGATTTGGGTCACTATAATCGCATCTTTTTGACTTCTCTACCTTGCACACCATTACCCTTTGGTCCTCACATGATACCCTCTTTCGATACAATTAAAGAAGGCCATAACAGCAATGATAGTGCCCCAACAGCAATGTCAACATGATGTTGACCAAGCAAAAAAATAAAATAAAGCAATGTCAGCATAGTTAAACATTCCTCGCCCAAAATTATAATATGGAAAACGATAATAAGTTAGTTTTCTCTCACTTTTTTCATCTTTCAAATTTTGGCCACTTTTGTTTTTCTATCGTCTCCATTTCCTCCATTTCATTGCTGCAATCCCACTTATCAATTCCATAACACCATCAGATTTGTCTCTTTTTCTAATTGATTTCCTCCATTTTATATTTCTAATTGATTTTCAAAGTAATGCATAATTCAGCGCCTCTTCCATCCCCCAGAAATATACAACAAATACATGTTGTAACAATTATTACACAAAGTTAAATCCAACCCAGTCTAAATTGTACTTGATTTTCATGTCATTTGTCAAAGTTCTCTTTCCTTTAACATCTCAAAAGTAATAGAAGAAAAGGTACAGTTGTCATGTTAGACCCACACATCCACAACCTGAAGATTGGCTCAAAATCTCATTAACTTATATTGGCAATTTACGAGTTACGATGTGTTTGGTTTTGCGTCAGAGGTATACATGTTTTTCAAATATATAAGCTATTCTAAGCAGTGTTTAAAGTTACGTACATGAATCTCTTGGACGTGGAAGCAAACACATAAGTTGTACATCACCGATAATAATAACAACAACAGTGCATTATTTTTATTTTCAATTCACAAAAATCTAATGTGCTGAATTGGAAAATCAATAAAAAAAAGTACTAACTTCAGAAGATATCCAATTCAGTTATATACCAATGACGGAACGAGAAATTACTTGCTCAAGGGGAAACTTCATCCTGCATGGCTTTAATGTCTACTGACTGAAGGTAGAATGCGTATCACAGATGAACTAACCCAGTATATTCTCCGACTCCACAATCGAGGCAAAAATCATTTGACGGGCATAAATAGGAGTATATTCCTTCATGAACTTCAAGAAATGAAGATCCGAGAGAAAACTGGCAATTAAAAATGGGGTCCATAGCTTTATATTATTTTCAGGTGAAATCCATATTGTAGCAAGTGGGATTGCACGGATACGAGCAGTCAACACGCTTCACCACTTCTCGGTCAAAGAACCAATCGGCAACAGATTCAGCAATTGTCTGCTCCAGGACAACAACAGGGAAGGTTAGCTAAGAGAACATTTTGGCATTAAAGCTAGAATGTAACCTCAAACTATGTTTTTTCTTTTCTTTTCTCTCTCTCTCTCTCTCTCTCTCAGAATATATGTGGGAGTGTGGCTTATATATAAGAAAAGGAGAGGACAATGCTTTTTTAAATTTTTGCATTAAGAGTGTTATATAATATCTAAGCTTACTAATAATTTTAATCCCTATATTTTAATTTATGCGTAATGTTGGTCTCTTTAATTTTAATTACTCACATGTAGTTTTTATAGTTTTTCATTTATTTAAGTTAAGTCTCTCACTCTAAAATTTCATCCAATAATTAACAAAAATATAATATACAATTGATTTATACAAATTTGCATAAAAAGTATTAAATTATTAAATAAGAATAAATGTAAACAATTAAAACTACGAAATCTAAAATTACACATAAATTAAAGAATGAAGATAAAAATGCAATTAAGCCTAATATTTATATAAATAACAAAAGATTAGAATATTAATTTATGCTAATTTATCATTTTAATTTTTTATTTAAAAAATTATCTAGTTAGAGAATATTTATTAGAAATAAATATTTTGCTCTTGCCTCCCCTTTTTTATTAATAACCTCTCTCAAATATACCCTTAAAAAAAGTATAAGTCACATCAAACACTTGACTGTAAGGATTGAAACATGGGTCATATTATTAATGGCTGTATATGGTTTATAAATGGAAACAACCACCCGGAACTGCTTATTATTTCAATTAAACATCTTTTCTAATGCTCCTAAGATTATAATTTGTCAACTTTATGAATCTAAAGTGTCAATATATTACAAAATCAAATTTCAATTTAAAGCAATAGGAAACGCATCAAAGTTCACTGCAATAAACAGTCATTAGTAAAACATTCAATCACTCAAACCAACCACTTAATAGTTAATACTAAGCACATAAACAATCTTGGGACAAAATTTAAAGGGAAAAAATGGAGTTGTTAAAAGCATAAATAAAACTATTATTTTTAATGACTATCATAAAGCAAGTATTTCAAAGGAATTGGGTCAGTGCCACATCTTAAGTACACAGCATATGTGAGGTGCCAAAACTATGATTACCTTATCGTTAATTTTAGGAGAGTTGGGTGAATGCCATGTCACTTCCTTCTCAGTCTGGCAATGGATAAAGCAGGAATTTATAAACATTCCAATCTGCTTTTGTTGTCGGAATTCATTCACAGCCTTCAGCAAAGAGCCACGGAAACCTGACAAGGATAATTTCCTAAGTTATTCAAAGTATGGCTGCTACATTCAGGTCCCGGTGTTAGATCATTATATATTCTATGCCACAGTTGAATCCAACAACTGTGGTATTTCGAATTTAATCCAATTGAAGGCTTATATAAGTTAATGAACAATCGAGACTCAACAAAATATCCAGAAACTATATGGCAGTTATATTATAGTGTTTACTTACGGTCCAGTTTATCAACCATGTTAGCATTACAACTGTGAATGTTCAGTCTGCATCTTTTCCAGAGACCATGGGGATCAGATCCATGAGGTACCAAAATATTGCGTATCTAAATACAGTCTGATTCTGTCACAGACAAATTAAAAAAAATATGTTTTATGACAATGAAATACGCATATTAAGGGAGCTTACCTGCCAATAATCATAACCTGGATGAACAAGGAACACAGGAGTCTTTATGTTTTTAACAATTTCAGATGGAAAGAGACACTGCATTACAAGTCAACAGTTAGGTTGTTCTTTGGCTGAAACAAATGAACCAATTAACCAAATTTTACGGTTACAAATTATACCAAAGGGTGAGACAATGACATTTGAGAAACTAAAAACCTGCCTTAGATGGTTCCATTTTAGCAATGCACTCTTTGTGCAAACTTTTTGCAACACCCTGATAACAAGATATGTGAGAATTAAATAATTAATTGGAAAAATCACATTGAACTTTTTTGGATTTATACTCAACAGATAGGTATAATTATAGCTCCTTCCAGAAACATTGTTATATATAAGCAAGCACAGCATTACCTGAAGCTGGACAACATCACTATAGAAAGATCTAATTGTATTATTTCCACTAATATCCTTCCTGAAATTTATGGAACAAAGATTATATTAATTTATTTTACTTAGTAATATATAACATGGAAGATGGTGAACATGCCACGTACAGGTACAAATCCCAATAGCATTTAACGAAACTTCAAGTCTACTGCTAGTCACATTTTTTTTCTGTCAAGAAACATCAACCTAGGATCACCCATCTAGTAATGAAACATAAGGACTTTTGGCAACTTTGAGTCTACATTTTACAACAAAATATCATGAAAGGGAAAGACAATGATATCTTGAGAGAAACCTACTCATCTAGGAAGAAGCCTGCATCAGCAAGACACTTGACAGTTGCTTCCTTTGGAAGTACTTGTCGGAAGTTATCACAATGAATAAGAGCTGCCAACCCTCCAGCAGAGCATCCTGAAAGCAATGCCTACAAAAGTAGCCTTAGCGATCATTACATGCTAACAGGCTTTATGTCAAGGCTAATGCATCATAATTCATAAATAGTTCATTATGTCAAAGCATCTCTGGAGTAAGATATATCTGACTATTAAAATTCACCTCTCATCAAATACAAGACAAAGGAACTAAAAAAGACAGTAATTCCCTTCACTTGCAATTGCATTTGTTCAAATTCATAAGCTGTGTTTTAGCATTACTATCTATGTTTATTGCTTAAGTTCATTAAAGAAGAGAAAAAATGGAAAATATTTTTGCTTATGCGCTAGTTCATTTACAATAAAGGACAACCATTTTCTTATGTTAACCAACTCAAGCAATAATTAAAGTAAAGAAAAGTTCTTTGATATAAACTAACAGAAAGATTATGATAGCAGACTACCAATTAAAAGGATGTATACTACTAGAAAGAATAGAGAGGAGTGCAGTGAATTAAAGGAGTTAGTTAATGCTGTTGACAGTCGCAACAGCAATGACAGTTAGCATGTAGAAATGATTAGTCACGCTGTCAATTTGCTGTCACTTAGTTGAGATGACTTTAAAAATAAGAGATAGGGAGACGAAAAGGAATCATCTTTTTGGAGGATTGTCAAGAAAGAAGAAGAGCCAGGACTATTGAATTTCCTGGGTGTAGAGTTCTTTTGGGACATTGTCATTCTTCTATCTCAGACCTGTCTTGCTGTGATTCAGATCTTGAGAAAAGAATTCAATCAACAAAATCTTTATTTTTTTTATTTTTCTTCCTCTAATTCTGATCCAGTTCTACCAGATTAATTGCATAATATGACTTTCACTGTTTCCCATGCATCACCAAAGGATAATAATAAGTGCAAAACAAACAGAACATATGCCAAATTGATCCATTCATTTAACGTTCACAAGGAAAGTGACAAAACTGAGAAGAGGACTGCTAGGACTGAAGGGGATATGGGCTCAAATGGGGCCAAGCCCACACTATAGAGAGTTTACACTAGAAGAAAGAAATGTATAGTCAAGGAGAGTGACGTGCCAGAGAGAGAAGTAAGTGGTTAGCCAAAGTAAGGGGGAGTCCGTAATAATGGGACTGGTGTGTGAGAGGGGGTATCTTTTGATAATCAAGAAGTTAGTTATGGATGGAGAACACTAGTTCTCTATAGAGGCTTAGCTCTGGGCAGTAGTACTCATTCTACTGATTTTTCCTTTATATCAAGTAATACCAGCATCATTTTGTATATTTCCTTTGTTTGAGTTGTTTAAATTCCTTGTTGATTTTACCAGTATGTATTAAGGACTGATGGCCAGATATTATTGTATCTATTTTAATAATCATTATTCTTACTATTATTATTTGTTTGTACAATCTCAGAAATTTTAAAAGAAAAGATATGTTTGATTGTGGTGAAAGTATTACCTGCTTTGCCTTAGACATGCCAATTGATAAGAGTTCATCAATAATAGCTTCCCATATGATCTGGCCTCTGAAGAACAAGCCACTTCCTCTCTACGGTATAAAATAAATTTTAAAAAGTCACATCAACATAAACCCAAATGTGTAAAGGAATTTTTTTTTTATCTTGATATGCAGGACAAAGATCTACCAATGACCAGTACCGAAGGTAAAATCAATCCTAACCTCGCTGTCCGGATGACCAGCAAAAGATGCGCCATCACAATAGCGTATCTTCACCTTGTTCCAGTTAAAGAAATCTGAATAAGTTTGACACATCATACTAAGTAACATCACTTATTCAATATAGCTAACAATCTATATACATACATTATACAATTTCAAACAGCAAAACCAATGCAAGATATACACATATCTAAGGGTGAGCTGGAAACATATATTGTCAGGTTTGAGGGAAACTGTCACCAGAACAATCAATCATCAATATCACAACAGTGGCAATCTATTATACAATCTAATGATAGATATAATCCACAACCCCGCAAAGCCAGAATGTCAAAACAAGAATATCGATGCAGTGCTACGTCAATGTAAAATATTGTCACCATATCAGTCAATGATGAGAACATAGCATCCATGGTTGGACAATAATAGAAAAATGTCGTACATTGGCGCATTGAACTTAAATGAAAAATTGCAAATTCCTACAACATTGGGGTAAAAAGGAGAGAAAGAGAGCCAGTATCATTCCTTAGTATCAACTTAGGTTGTGATAGAAACAGTGAAGTGTTACTAAACCCTTAAAATTTAAATTGCGGTTGCTGCGGAGATTGCAGTGATCTCAAAAACCTTAATATTGGTGGAAAAATTTGATATTTAAAACCATGATATAAGAATGTTACAGATAATTTACCAGGGTTCTGAGAGGGGTCAGAGCTCAAAATCCCCAAAAAAGGAATCAGTGTCTCCATATACTTGGAAGAGCCCAGAGGAGTGAATTTTCGCTGAGAACATGAAGCTACAGAATTGCACCACCCTCCTCCCTGCACACGCGATTGAAACCAATATTTCCGAAAGCGAACTCAATTTCACAGAATAAATGAATAAATAAAAAGAAAACCTCGGTGTGAATCAACCAGTTGCGAGATCCGGATCCGAACCCGTTTTGAAAGTGGTAACCGGGGGCGCTCCCATCCAAGCAAACTGCACAGGGAAAATCAAAACGCTAATTGAATCAGAGTGAAAACGAGGGGTGTGTTTGGGAATAGGAGCGTACGTGGGCGTGTTTGGTTGGCGTTGTTGCGGAGCAGGGTTAAGGGAACCAGGTTGGAGCCGGAATGGGAATCGGAATAAGAATCTAAATGGGAAAGGAGTATGAGCGAGAAGAGGAGAAGGAAAAAGAATGCTGCGATTACGTAGTCCTTAGTGGACCAAATTCTCAGACTCCGAAGACGAGAAGCGGTAATGGCTATAGTCGAAGAAGAAGACGATGAAGGCATGGCGCGATGGAGAGAGAGAGAGAGAGAGAGGGAGTGGGAATGGAACACTGCCAGTAACGGAAGTCAACGCACCGTAGATGTGCGCTTCCTTTCCTACTTCAGCTGTCTGTTTGGAGACATTCTTCCCGAAAAATGCTTCTAATTCAAATTACATTTCAAATTATATTTAGGTTTCTTATGTATATTTTTATGTGGGCTAATATATTTTCTAAAATTTCAAAAATATATTGATCTTTCATTAGGTTTGGACATTTTTTTTATGAACATGAATTAAATTTGAACTCTTTTGACTTAGTTTGCTAAATTTTATCATTTATAATAATGGGCTTGCTAAATAAGTTAGATCATCCGTTTTACCAAACTTCAAATATTACTAACTAATATTTTAAGTATTAGTAAATGTGAAATAATAATAATATTAATTTTTTATTCTTCGTCAAAACTATCAAGAATTCTTATTAGTTTTAAATTAATTTATTTTTATATTGATAATTATATAAACTAATGGTCTTGGTTAAAGGCTTTATTGTACAGGAACTCACCTTCAAACTTCCTCCTCCTGCTTTCTTCCTTTCTTGATTCTAGGACTCGACAAAAAAAATAAATATAAATATGAAGGATTTGCTTAATAAAAAATTAATATTATTATCATTTCACATTTACTAATACTTAAAATTAGTTATCCCATTAACTAATTTATTTTTATTATTCTTGATGTTAAATTATCTGAAGTTTTAAAATTATTTATCCAAACATAACTTTAGTTTTTTTAAATAATTTATTTTAATCTATTTTACTTTATTTATTATTATTATTATTATTATTATTATTATTATTATTATTATTATTATTATTATTATTATTATTTTATATTAGTTTATAAATTAAAATAAATTATTATAAAGTTAACCACTGAAGTAATCAATATTTATCATTTGAAGAGTTAAAATAAATATTATTTAAAAAAAAAAGAAAGCTTTTTGGCCTATCTAATTATAGTAATGGATTTGAAGGTATATTCATATACCATTTTTGTTATTTTATAACCTTTCTATTATTATTTTTAAAAGATATAAAACCATTTCAAAAAATAAATTTTAATAATAATAATAATAAATGTGATACAAATAATAGAAAAAGTGAAGTGGGAAAAATTATCTCATTAAACTACCATGCACATTATATATATATATAAAGATTTATGATAAATTTATTAAATGTATAAAATATTTTTAAATTTTAAATTAATAAATATATATATATATATATATATATAAATATATTTTTATACTAATATAAATTAAATTTTTTTATATTTATTTAATTTAAATCTAATAAATAATATTACACATCCTACCGGTGTATCTTATATATTAATGAAAAAACCACTTAGCTTGTAAAATCGTCTATTATTGTAACGGAGATCCTGATCCAAGAGCCCAAATTATCCAAATCCAACCCTCCCTCTTTGCTCCTTCCAAGTGGAACGAGGCCTTTTGACCCAGTGACACTTTCGCTCTTTCTTAGGAGGTTCTCTCCTTCATCCCTAATACGACGAACTCTCATCTTCTCAGTTGGATATCTCTAATGCTTGTTCAACGACTGAACCCTAATCGTTGCTGCGCGTGGTGACTGCTGGTGAGTACTTCATTGATTCTCGCTGATGGTTATTGTATTTGTATGCTGTGACTGTAATCCTTAAGTGTTGATGCCTAGTGTTGCTTAATGTCCTCTTGAATTTGGTTGTATATTCTCGGCATGTATGCTCTATGATGGTTCTGTTTAACCTGTAGCATGGCGTGAATGGTGGACTCTGTTATGCTTTTACTGTTAATGTACACTGTTCTGCACATTTTTGTGTTAGAAGTGTTTTGTGTTTCATGGTTTTGCTTTTAGCTCGGTTTAAATCCAAGGGTGGACTTGTATGATTGATTGTGGATGGCAGGTCTGGCAATACCTTGTTAGAGCCTGATTTTATTTAGCTCTAATTAGAGTGCGTTCAGTTTCATTGCTTAGGAGTGAGAGGATGGAATTGTTAAGTAGTTCAGTTTGTTTCCATGTCCTTTTTTGTTTTGTTGGCATGACTAATAACACAATTTTCTTACTCTTGTCTTTTAAAATGACTCTCTTCCATCAGAATATTTCAACCTCAACATGCAGAGCAGATCCAAATGGATAAATAACTACATTCTTTCCCTCATGTGTTGGCTGCTTTCCGGCGCCCCCCCCCCTTGATTAGGTCCAAAAGCAAAATAAAACCATATCAAATGGACTTGTTGAGCTTGTCTAAAATGGAACCAAATTATAGAAGATCTAAATTTATAAATAGATATCAGGGCACAAGCTTGGTTAATTCTAATGTTTGGATTGTGAAACTGAACGCTAATTGCTAACTAAAGGGTGAGTGACATTGATAGTGACTGAATAGGTTTCAAACTTGGAATATGTCTTGTTTTCTAGCTAAATATTTCTATGGTAGATACCGTGTCATTTAGGATGGAGTACATTTGTGCTTGTGATCTGCTCACTTCATGCCCTTTCATGTCTCAAACACTTTGAAAGATGGGTTAAGAACTCTGGGTGCAGTCAATTGATGTTACAGTATGTGCTCAGTCTAACTTTGTGGCCCTGTGAACTATTATCTTTTTCTTTTGACCTTGCTGTATGTTTTGATCTTTGATCATCATAATATGTTGGTTTAAAAACAAAATTATTAAATCAAGCACTGCCTATTATATGTGGATTGCTTGCTTTTCCTTGGTTTGAAGTAATTGTTGAGAAGATAAAATCATAAAATTGAAAGTTATGATTGCAATTCATCTGCAATTCTCACTGCACAGTCAAAAACCTTGAGTAGCAATGTTTGAATACTTTTGAAGTGTTAATTGAAGCAGGAGCCAACTATTGCATCAAGGGTCTGTACTTCACCATTAAGATTGGTATTTTTTAAGTAGTTTATTAGATGGGATTTTGCCTATAAAGGCCACTGATGTACACGGTTATTATACACAAATTAGTGAATGAAATATTGAAATTTGTGTTTGATGATTTTCTTCCTCTCCTTTAGTTCTTCTGTTGCATAAGGATGTGTGAGAAAAATATTTTAGTGTTAAAATGTCCCACTGATATCATGATACATGTGAAAAGCAGCAACTGTCTCTAACTACAGGCTTTCATTATATGATCTAGTGTAGAGAACATTTTTAACTGAAAATGTTTCTTTTGCACATTGTAATGGACACTCTTAAGTCTTGTTGTGTAACAGTGCTTGCTTTGACTGACTCACAAATTTTATTTTATTTTTCTCTTTTTAAATTTACTTTTCTATTTTAAATATTAATTATACATATATCTTTAACTTTTTATTTAAAAAATTTATTATTTAATAATACCTGTGCAGCATATGAAAATTCACTAGTTAAATTAAATATAATCTGATAATCTATAATTAAAATCATTAGTTTATTAGTTGTTATTGGGCTATGCATATTTCTTGTGCCCTGTGCTTTTACTTCTCAATATAAATATATAGAGAAACAGACTAACAGCATTGAATTTGTGTGGTTTTGTTCTTGAACACATCATCTGTAAGTGTATGTTATCTCCAATCATTTTGCTCCATATTCCTTATTCATTGCTTGTGTGGTTTTCTTTTTGAAGTTTGAACACATTATCAGTCAACTTTTGAAATCAGTAAATAAAATATAATCTGATTGTTAAAATTGCGATCTTACTCGCAAACTGGTGAAATTTTGTAAGATCACAGTGTTTACTTGTCAAATTGATGGGATCACGCAATCCACCGAGCTGGTCAAAAGTGTTTTTCTGGTTTAACCCAAGACCCATTTGGATGAAATCTGAAAATTCCGATGTACAAATAATTTAAAATTGCCAATGTACTCATACTGGAATCCTGGATATTTGATATGCATATCATTCAGTTACCTCTTTATCCAAATTTAATTACATTACCTTTTTAAGTCTTTTAATATATATATTTTTTCTTTAAATGACGATATAATTAATATTATACCTTGAATATAATATTTTTACTTAAATTTAATTGTGATTATGTTTTTTAAATAAAATTTTCAACAAAATTAAGATCAATAATATGATAGTGATAGCAAACTAATATAAATATTAGATATATTATAAAAATAAAAAAATCAATAAAATGAATGAATTAAATATAAGTAATTCTTTGTTCCACGTTGCCAAGTCAGTTTTTTGGCCTGAGTTGTCTTCTTGTAGATCAATATCTTAATTTCTATTCATTTTTCTCTTTAGTTTATGCCTTTTGTTTGACTAACACGAATGAGGATCAACATTAACCAACTCTACTACAAGTGCATTTGTGCACGACATGAGTTTAGATGAACGCCTACACTTTGTATTCCTTCTTAGAAATTTCTTCTAAAACAACAGTGATTAAATGTCCAACGTATTTAATAAGAGTAAATTCAAAACTGGAAAAAAATCAATGAAAGATCAAGTCTTCACACAGGTACATATTAATGAGTTATTGCATTGACTCATCCCAAGAATGTTGCATGGATTGATATGTGAATATTTTAAATAGTTGTTATAGTAGCAATACATTGTATATGATCCTTTTTGACTTAAAAGTCATTATAGTTCCCTACATGAGGGGTTGTTTGTTTTAATACATGTTGCTTATACCAAGATTGATTATCATTTTGATATTAGATATGGCATTAATCATCAGTAGATATTAAAGTGAACTAGGTGAAATATGTCCCTTCCTCTATAATGAGACCAATGTCTATGGACCCCTTCATTGAGTGAGAAAAAACAAGTTGTGCTCAAACATCTAGAAATAAAAGATTGAACTACATAAAAACACATTTTACATCTTGCGTTCAGTTGAAATCTGTAGACAAAGGAACTAAACCATATGATAACGTTATTCATGGATAGGTTAAATTGAATGATAACATTGTCTTTACTTAGGTAACATTAATGTATTGTTAGATATTGCTGTCTTTTGTAATACTTGAACGTGATTTTAATGTCTACCATTATTCTAGGAATGCATAAGCTACATTTAGAATAAATTGAAATTAGAGTTTAAATTCGTAAGTGAATATAATTGGCAATCCAAGACTACAGTGCCATATTTAAGCAGAACTTATGGTCAGGCTTAATAGGCCAACCTATATTAAAAGATCTGCTAACCTGAGTTTTGTTTTGTAAATGACTGTTCATGTCTTACTTGATGTGGTTAGGTTTCTATTTATTATATATACACAGTTATAGTAGGGTAACAACAAATGTAAGTGTTGAGAGAGGAAATATTGAGAAGCATTAGAATGAATCTATGTGTTTAGGACACAATGGAGTTATTCAATTTTATAAAGAAGAATATATAATTACAAAATTTACAGTTACTATATTTACAAGATTCTAATAGATTCTAACACTCCCCTTCAAGCTGGAACATATAGGTCATATGCACCAAGCTTGTTACATATGTAGTTAATTCGAGGACTCCTTAGTGACTTAGTGAATTTATCTGCTAGTTAATTATGGGATTGACAAAACTAGTAGATATTTTCCCAGACATGACTTTCTTTCTGACAAAGTGGCAATCAATTTCAATGTGCTTTGTCCTCTCATGGAATACTGGATTTGAGGCAATGTACATGGTGGCTTGATTATCACATATAAGTGACATATGTGTAACCTCTCCGAACTTTAGTTCTTGAAGCAACTGTTTGAGCCATATAAGCTTCTGATTTGCTATAGCCGTAGCTCGATACTCTGCTTTCTCACTGAACTGGACTACAACATTCTGCTTCTTACTTTTCCAAGAGACAAGGTTATCTCCAACAAATATACATAATCTAGAGGTGGACCTTCTGTCTATGGGAGATCTTGCCCAATCTGCATTAGAATATCCCATAACTCAAGTGTGTCCTTTGTCTTCATACAAAAGACCATTTTCTGGAGCTCCTTTGATGTATCGAACTATGCGAGTCATTGCATCCCAATGTTCCTTACATGGAGAGTTGATGAATTGACTTACTACACTAATTGCGAATGAGATATCTGGATAGGTAACAGTGAGGTAGTTCAGCTTCCTACTAATCGTCTGTACCTTTCAGGATCTAGAAGAGGCTCCCCCTGATTTGGTAGGAGATTGACATTGGGATCCATGGGAGTATCGACTGGCTTAGAAGTTAACATTCCTGTTTCTTCCAGAATATCCATTGCATACTTATTTTGGGAAATGATGATCCCATTTTTGGACTGTGATACTTCTATTTTAAAAAAATATTTGAGTTTTCCAAGATCCTTTGTCTGAAAATGTTTGAAGAGATGCTGCTTCATCTGTACGATGCCACGATGATCACTACTCGTGATGACAATATTATCAACATAAACAATCAGGTAGATGCAACCGGTAGGTGAGTGACGATAGAAGACAAAATGGTCAGCTTCACTCCGAGTCATGCCAAATTGTTGAATCATAGTACTGAATTTGCTGAACCATGCTTTGGGTGACTGCTTGAGGCCATATAAAGATTTTTGCAGTCGACATACAATAATAGAGGATTCCCCTTGAGCAACAAAGCAAGGAGGTTGCTCCATGTAGACTTCCTCGAGTAGATTACCATGTAAGAAAGCATTCTTGATATCCAACTAATAAAGAGGCCAATGACGTATAGCAGCAATGGACAGGAATAGTTGTACAGAGGGCAATTTGGCCACGGGAGAGAAAGTGTAGCATAATCCAACCCGAAGATTTGAGTATAGTCTTTGACAACGAGATGGGCCTTAAGCCGGTCAACCTTGCCGTCTGGACCAACTTTGACCGTATATACCTACCGACAACCAACAATTGACTTCCCTGGTGGTAGAGAAATGAGGTCCTAAGTTCCACTGATTTGTAATGCACACATTTCGTCTAGCATAGCTTGTTGCCATCTTGGATGGGCAAATGCATCACCTGCACTCTTAGGAATATAAACACAAGACAAGAAAAAAAGGCAAGAATAATAGGAAGAATAAAGACGATGATAATTTAAAGAAATATAATGAGAAAAAGGATTACGAGTAAAACGTATACCTTTTCGAAGGGCAATGGGATGTCAGGTTTAGAAGGCGGGACCGAAAGATGAGGCAAAAGAGGTGGCTCCAAAGGTAAGTCCATGGTGGTGTTAGCACTCGGTGGCTGCAATATAGGACGAGTACGGCATTGATAGACTTGCAAAGGTGGAGGAGATGGGTGTGGAGGGGATGGAGACTCCTCTGGAAGACAGAAAAGGATTGAAACAAGTGCAGTTGTGGACGGGGAAGACTCGAATGTAGATGTTCTACGCCCAAAGAATGAAATGGACTCAAAGAAAGTAACATCAACAGAGATGAAATACCTACGAAGAGTAGGGGAATAACACTTGTATCTTTTCTGAGATAGTGGGTACCCAAGAAAAACACACTTATGTGACTGAGGAGAGAGCTTGTCAATGCCAGGACCAAGAGCATGAGCAAAACATATAGAACCAAAGACTCGAGGTGGTAAAGGATGAAGAGAGTGGTGAAGGTATAGAACTTGATGAAAAATTTTACCTTGTAAAACAGATGAAGGCATGTGGTTAATGAGATAATACGCAGTAAGTATTGTATCACTCCAAAACTGATGAGGAACATGAGAGTGAAGAAGAGTTCGGGTTGTCTCAAGTAGATGCCTATTTTTGCATTCTGCAACTCCATTCTATTGGGAGTATGAGGACAAGATGTTCGATGAAACACACTATGAGATGCCATAAAGGTTTGAAACTGAGTAGACAGATTCTGACGTGCATTATAACTTTATAAAGTGCGAATAGGGATACCAAATTGATTTTTTATTTCATAAAAAGTAGATTGAAAAATTGAAAAAAATTTTGAACATTCTTTCATTAAATATAACAAAGTACAACGGGAAAAATTGTCTATAAAAGTAACAAAATATCTGGACCCTAATGTAAAGGAAATACGACTTGGACCCCAAATATCTGAATGAACTAAAACAAAAGGGAAAGAAGCCTGACTCATAGTGCAACTAGAAAAAGAATTACGAACGTGTTTTCCTAATTGACATGACTTGTAAGACAAAGACTCTAACTTAGAAAGATTAGGGTATAACTGTTTCAACTTATCAAGACCTGGATGTCCTAATCGAGCATGAATCAGAAGTGGAGATGTTGCTGCCGAACCAACAAGAGAAGGCTTGTTGATCTGATAGAGACCATGGGACTCACATTCGGAGCCAATCATCCTTCCCGTACTCCAGTCTTGCAAGAAAAATATAATTTTTAGTAAAGGAGATGACACAATTAAGAGACAGGGTAAGTTGACTAATGGACAATAAATTAAAGAAAGCCTTGGGGACATAAAGGACATTATGAATAGAAAGAGAATGAAGAGGATGAACAACACCAACACCTTGGGACTGAGTTTGAGAGCCATTTGCCACGGTAACAAAAGGTAAATAACAAGAAGTAGAAAGAGAAGAAAAAAGGGATTTATTACCAATGATATAATCAGTGGTTCCCCCCAGAGTCAAGGACCTAAGGACCTGAAGAGTGAGAAAGACCAACGAAAGAATTATTAGTGTGTGCAACAAACAGCAGTGGAATTGGAGGCGGAGTCAGAAGTGGACAAAGGAGACACAAAACTATGAGCCACCTGGCAGTGCGAGGAGGTCAACCATGTAGAGTCCAACACTTATCCAATTGTGTGTCCTGGTCGGTGGCAATGATCACACCAAGGATGTCCTTTGCCACTTTTTCGTTGTGAAGGTTGGTTGGTGTTGTGAGAAACCAAAGCAGAAGGGTTAGTAGGAATAGAAAGCAAAGACTCAAAGGAGGCTTGGGGAGGGGGGGACACATCACGAACATGAGAATATTCTGTGGGCAGACCGTATAGAGCTAAGGACATGAAAAACTTCTTACGATTTTCAAGTTATGCAGCTAAAGTGGCAGTGGAAGGAAGCAATTCATTGAGCTCACAGAGAAGGCTAGACACTGAGCCAAGATAGGTCAACATATAATCCTTAATCTGATGGGCACTAAAGATAGTCATGAGGTCTTTACAAACTTGATAGAGTCGTCGATAATTGTTTGTAAAGAGTTATTGTGCCTATGTCCAAACAGCTTTGTAGGTTTTGTGAGTACGAAAGACATTACAAAGAGATGGATGAATGGTGGCTCGGATAATACAACACAATTGAGCGTTAACCTTTTTCCATAGAGGACGGTCGGCCTCTGGGACATCGTCTGCTGTTTGGGTGAGATGTGTCTCATAACCTTATCCAACAAGCCAAAGTTCAATGTAAGAAGACTAAGAGGAGTAGTGCTTACTATCCAACTGCTCAAAAGAGAGAGGTGCAGTGACATGGTTGATAAAAATCGAAGTGTCAGATTTTGGAGTGTTGGAGTTAGCCATTAGTCAGCGAGAAGAGAGAAAAAAATGGCCAAACAGCAGCAAAAAAGGGCAAAACAAGGGCGAATAGATGTCCAAACAACCAACCGAGACCAGATACAGGTAGAGGAGAGAGGGGCGAGCAAACCCCAGTTGATGGCGTCAGGAAAGGATGCCGGATGTGCCATCACATGGTGAGACAGAGGGTGGCACGTGAGGACTCCGATGAAGGCACAGTCAGAGGAGTTCGGCCGTTCTGTCAAAGGCGACCACAACAGCGGAGTTACCATAGTGATTGGAGGTCAGACGACAGCGGCGGCGCCAGCATCGGAACAGGTGAATGAAATGTCAGAAACCGGAGATAAAACATGGTTTTCGAAGAAAATTTGCTCCGGTGAACAATGGGTCCATCAGGAAAAAAAAAACATGGATTAAGGTTGCCTCTCCTTAGGCTCTAGATACTATGTTGAGAGAGGAAATATTGAGAAGCATTAGAATGAATCCATGTGTTTAGGGCACAGCGGAGTTATTCAATTTATAGGAAAGAGTACATAATTACAAAATATACAGTTACTATATTTACAAGATTCTAATAGATTCTAACAATAAGAAAAAACAAGTTTTTTAAAAACCCCTCTCTCTCTCTCTCTCTCTCTCTCACACACACACACACACACACACACACACACACACACACACACACAACAAAAATAGTTATTGAAGCTCTGTCACTGTTTTTGTAGGATATAGAAGATGGAGTTTTGCCCAACTTGTGGTAACATACTGCAGTATGAAGTGCCTAATATGGGTCGCCCTTCAAGATTTTTTTGTTCTGCTTGCCCATATGTTTGCCACATCGAGAATAGGGTAGGGAGCAACTTTAACCATTGCATACTTCTTTAATATGTTTTTAGGTGCTTGTGCATGATTTTCATATTTTCACTTCACAGGTTAAGATAAAGAGAAAGCAGAGGTTGGTGAGAAAAGAGATAGAGCCTGTTATCTCCCACGATGACATGAAGAATGCACCAACAGCTGAGGGTACAGTTCCTTTACTTCTTTGTTTTTATTCTTCTGATAAAAGTTATCTTTGGGATAGTTGTTGTTTAGGATGTCCTGCAAGCTTATTCGGAATTTATGATATATTGGGTTTTAATGTTGAAACTTAGAAGCCTAGATACTCTAATTTTGCTCAAGTGTTAGTGTCCTACTCGCATTTGATAGCGATAATTATATTATACATTCCAAATATCTGCCCAAAAGTATCCCCCAATTTCTTTTTATATATTTTTAAGAGATAAGGATAAGAACACACTTTGCGTAAGGTGCTTTAGTGTAAATGTAGTTATTTCTACAGACTCTGTTATGTTATGTGGGAAGTTGATATAGGTGGGAGGTCCTAGTGTCAAAATGTGAATCCAATTTCAGCAACAAATATTCTATCGCACTTGTTTGTGCTGATATAGCATCTTTTCAGGCTGCCTATACAAGTTAAAATTTTTATGGTTTGGCCTGAGGATGATGTGACCCAATGCAAGAAGTTCTCCTAATACTTTTAAAATTAAAATTAATTAAGTTGTGAGAAGAATGGAAGTTGAAGTTGTGGTCTGGTTCAATTTCAGCTTTGAACATGAACTGGACCGATTTTCAAGTAATTTCACTGGATTGTTGAATCATATCTACCACACTAATTATGTTCAGTTGTGTCAGTTTGCATATTCAATTTGGCTTGTCCATGCCTAGACAGGAACTTCTTGACATTTTTTGCACTAAGCTTGTTTTGTTATTCATCATGGACTTCCATTATGATTTTGTTTTTTACATTTTTAGGGGTTTTGGTTGGTTCAAAGTTTGAGAACTTTTTCCATTCTTTGAATTTGAGTTGAAGGTCTTTGACCTTGAAGAAAAATATAATTGATTGCTTGTTTGTGAAGTAGTCATGAATTAGACACTACTAAATTGCACAATAATAATGACTAGCTACTCCTACTTCCTCAAAAAGAAAAATAGATTATTCTTGCTAACAATACCGTAATATGGTAATTCTAAGAGATCGTGGTTATTTGTGTGATATTTCTTCGTTCGGTTTTTTTATCATCATTTGATTCACTTGCTTTTCTTTCTGTCTGTCTTCGTTTTTTTGGTCATTCCTTCCCCTTTCTATCTTGTAGTGCCATGCCCAAGATGCAACCATGATAAAGCTGCTTACACAGAATTTCAGACTCGGTCAGCTGATGAACCTGCAACTATTTTTTATTTGTGTTTGAACGAAAAATGTAAGCACCAATGGCGTGATTGACTTATGCTATATATTTTTTAATTGGCTAACGACATAATAGCTTTTCGAGCTGATTGGTAATTGGGATTACATGAAAATTAAGAGGGTTTTAGATATTTTTATTTTCTTGCTAACAACTAAAAGGGCTAGGTTATTTTTATGTTATACATCGAAGTTTGTTTTAAGGATTAGAAAACTGAGATGGTAAAAATTTCCGAATATATTTTATATTAAAGACTAAAAACTGCCAATAAGCTAAAACATGAAAGCTGTGTTCCTTTTTTTTTTGTATTAATTATTTTCTCATTTTCATTGCTTTCAGCTCATTTTTGTTATTTTTCGGTACTAAATGTGTTCTTGCTTTTTGCTTTGATTATTTATCTAAATTCGATTCCTTTCAATTCATTTACGCCTACTATTTAGTGGCATTATCTGTGCATCTGAAAGTCTGATAATGTAATCTACTTCATGACTAAGGAACAACTATAGTGACAAACCCGTTGACCAGTTTTTGGTTTTTGGTTGGATACTAATCGTGTATTTCTAGCTTTTGCAAGCCGGGTGTGTTTCTCGGCATTGTTTTGAAAGGACCAACCAAAAAATGTATATTTTGACCTTGCACTAGTTCTCATTTGTTACTATTTATTACGGTTGTTTATAGGCTGTCATGGATGTAAGTAAACTACAAACAAATCTATGAACTAAAAAAAATAAAATGCTAAAAGCACATAAATTCGTTTGCTGAGGATTGACACGGCAAATGAATTCATCAGTTTTCTTGAAAAGAATTCTCCTACATTATGAACAATTACATTTACGGTTCACATTATGGAGGATTCTTTTAATGTTTTTTTTTTGGGGGGGGGGGGGGGGGGGAGAGGGAATATGAGTTGCTAAAATCATGCTGGGTTGAGGACTACCAATTGAGGATCGAATGCTTGTATGAAAAACTGCTGGCCATAACAGACGTTGAACTAGTATAAATTTTCTCTGTACTACAGCTTTTCCCCATAAGCTTTCATGTATTTCCAACCCAGTTCCTGTCCATAATCAAAGCAATATACATCAGTAAATGTGAGATATATTTTAATATTTCTGCATATCGATCTTCCAAGCTTGCCAAACTAAGAAAAATTATACTCAAAAGTAGCCTTATCTGCGTTGCTATTAACAATGCAACTCTCCCTAGTTTAGGAATGTACTTGAGTAAACAACTAAGATTCAATCCAAGTAAAAACTTTGTATAAAAAATGAAAAATAAATTAAAACGAAGTTATTTTTTCAAATTTTAAAGAAGTTAAACGAGACAATTTCTCAAAAAAATAGAAAAACATAAGTTGTTTTTAATAATTTACCAAAAACGAGTTTTAATTAAGTATTTATTTAATAAGCTCTTGTCACGTGAAAGATACAACCATTCCATCTAAAGCAACCTAAATGTTCTCTCAATTCAGAAGCAGACACTGGGAATGGCGTAAAATCTTCGAGAGCCTCCCTTTGCAGGGTGCTCCACGCCCTCACGTGGGTTTTTTTCTTTGTCTTTTTTAATTATTTTTTTTTTCTCTCTTGTGAAGTTCTTTCTCATGTATGGTAGGTTTTTTGTCTCACCTTGTTGAGAGTTTTTCTTCTCATTTTTTTTTTCTATTTGTTTATCTCTCCTTTCACCGTTTATCTTATCTCTATCATTGTTTTACTATATTTGACTCCTTTCTTTCGAGCATTCCAATTCATTCAAACCAACTTCAGTAATCCAAAAGAAGAAAAAAAAGAAGAGAAGTTTGTTTCTTGTGGTTAGATTTGTTATGCTGGAAAATGAGATTAGTTTTTAATATTTTTGTGTTTAGTATGGCAGATTGCTAAGTTGTGTTTAGTATTGAATATACATGCTAGATCTTTTACTGAATATTCATTGTGCATTGTTGTAATGCTCATGATATTTAGCATCTTTTGGTTGTAAGTGTCGTTAAACTTTCTCATCTATGAATGTTTGACCCAATAAAAGGGGCATAAAATTGATTGTGAAAATTTTAGGAACAAGATAAAATGGACAATGTCGCAGTACATAATCTTATTGAATAAGTTCCTTTTATTTATTCTAATAAATTTCATGATCAAATTTATATCAGAAATCTTTCTCAGAAGTTGATTGAGCTACTGAGTTATGTGAATAATAATTGGATTCAAATTTAGTGGGTACTGATAAAAAAAATGATTCAAAATGGTTATTTTTACCTATCAAATAAGTTTGGGTTTAGGTTCACGGACATGTAATTGCACTCAAAAGTTTTGCAGATATAGGTATACCCATACTATCACCTACACGCACTCATACATACAACATTTATTATATTTTATAACTACAATCTAAAATAACTTTAAATATTTTTAGTTAAATAGAAAAGTAATGCTTTTTTTTTTACTATTTTATGAAAAAAAAAAGACATTAAAACATTTATTCAACTAAAGTATGTGTAATGAATTTGGTATGGAAAAGCCATTGGGTATGGGAACTCACCCCAAAATTGCTTTGCATGCTAATATACGTCATAGAAGTGGTTCTTTTTTTTTTTTTTTTTTTTAATGTTAGTATACATAATAAGAGTTAGGATCCGTCAATATCAAATATTTTACTTAAACATTTACAACACTTAATAACTTTTTATAGAATACAAGATTATTGATTAATTCAACTATTAAATTATCTTGTATTCAATAATATTGTATTATCTTTTAATCATATACATAAATTTCACTTAATTTTGACATTTGTAGATATATTATTCAAATTTTGATATTTTCTTATATTTTAAAAATATATCACTCATTAAAATAAAGTAATGTATAATGTAATAATAATATTTTTTTTATTAAGTTTTATAAAATTAATCTATTTAATAAATCTTTAAAACAATAGTTGAATTATTTAATCTCTATTAAACAGTAAGTATTAAAAAATTTACCACCTACTATTAACATATCTCAACTCATAATCGATACAAATATTCTAATACTCTATCCAATCCTACTCTTGTTATCCCTAGCAAGCAAGCATATCATAACTTATCCTTCAATCTTATATTATAAATAGATGCTATTATTCCACAAAACCATTCCAACCACTTTAGAAAAATAAACCTAATAACATCTTGAATTCAATTTGACCTAATGAGAAGGTCAATTTCAACGGTCTATAATATAGAAATTGGTAGACAAATTAGGTTTTAAATTCAACATAAACCAATGCAGCTTCATTTATTTTGGGTTTTAAATTTGAGGGTAAAACTCTAGTGCGTTTACTTTCAAGGTGCCGAGTAAAACCCAAAAGTAATTTACCTGGAAAAAAAGAGCATAATAACCAATGCGCTAGCTCCTTAAATTTTGAATGAGTTAAGGATATAATATACTTTAAATTAAATTAAGGATGAGAGACGTACACCATCCTTGTCTACTTTTTAAAACAACCTCTCTTCAAAAGTCTTTTACTAAATTTTCAACCGGATAAAATAAAACAAATCCAGTCACCTTAATTTTATATATTTTAAAATATCTTTATATATAAACAAATTTTCAACAACGTTTTATTTAAAATGTCATTTTGGTAATTTCAACTTTCAAAAACTATAAGAAAATATCTTCCTATTCACTGGTCTCAAACAAGCTAACCATGATCAAGTTAGAAATTCCCACGGTAGAGATCGGTTCAAACAATTTTAACTAACATTATTCTTAGCAATTTTGGCCTTAACGATACTCAGCTCTTGCAAAATTCAACACGAGTGAAGAGATTCTGTTATATAACCAACCTAAAACCCACTTAATAACTTACATTAAGAAAAAAATATTAAATCAAAGGGGGGAACCATCATAACTTGAAATTAAAAAAGAAAAATCCATACTTTTCTTCAAGTAATTTAAAGGATATCATATTAATTAAAGAGATTTGAAATTTTACTCTTGTAAAACTTGTGGTAAATGCCTAAAAAGGGCAGTTTCAATGTGTTACAAATCTAGTTTTTCTGATGAACTGATTCACCATATAAACCTTTGAATTCCAGGTTCATGATCCCAATGAAATGGCCGAAACAGAAACATCATCATTGTAAAAATATTGACACCAATATATAGTGTGCCTGTGAAAAGCCAACTTCGATCATCCCTAATGTCACAATGAAGCGCCATGATATAGAATGGTATAGTGTAGTATCTGAACTCTATTAGTGGAGCTGGTATAAGAACAGCAGCAGTAGCCAAGAAGTATGCCAATACCCATATTTTACTTCTAAATTTTCCTGTTTGACAAAAGATCACAGTTTTAATCACTAGCAATTGAATCAATCAAGAATGCTCATTATGTGTATGTACTAACCTAACATGCGGATGATGGAAAACCATGAACATATATAAACTGGGACCAGAAGATATTTAATAGACCAGTGAGCCATGATAACTTTCCTCCAAAGATAAAAAGGGTAATGCCGATTATCCGCAAGCAGGTATGGATGAGCTACACTGGAAAAATGGAGAAACAAGTGAGCAAAAATATCGAGATTAACATGTCTTTGAGATACACAAGATATAATAAAAGCTGAGTTAATATTTTTATAGTAGAGATTTAGGATGAGTTGAGCTTCATGCGAAAGTTTTGTGACACTCATGCAACATAAGTGAAAAAAGTTATCACTTGATATGACATAGTTAGAACTGCTGGACAACCTGTATTACGAGACAATCAATAAGGGACTGTTTGGTTTCAAAAATCATTTTCTGTTTTCATTTTTAATATTTATTTTTAATTACAGAATTGTCTCCTTGTTTTATTTTGTTTTCTATTTTCAAAAATTTGTTAAGAAAAATTTAAAAATAATTATTTTTTCTGTTTTTACTGTTTCCTGTACAATTCTTTGAAAACAGAAAACAAAATGAAATCAAGGTAGCAATTTTGTATTTAAAAGTGAAAATAGAAAATGTTTTCTGAAACCAAACAGTCCCTAAATGGTCCTGACAATGAGTACCCTAAGACCTAAGGACATCAATTCAGGAATCAATATAGAGAAAGTTTATAATAGAAATCATGGTGATGGTGCATTAGTAATATTAAATGTTACATTTCCTATAAAAACTTTCCACAATTGATAAACATTCTCCGTGAGTATAAGGAAGTTGGAAAAATGAGCTTCAAATTTTACAGAATCGGAGCAAAATTAACCTAACAATTTTACATGCATTTAATTGTTGACAATCAAAATACAGATTCTGCTTCTATTCTACTGAGTGATATGAGTCTGACATAACCTGAAAGAGTGTACTGAGAGAATGCCAATAACAAGGGCCAGGAACATCTGACAAAAAAGAGGGGGCCTATTCTTCCAGAACATCTGGAACAAGTCCATAGCCTGACTGACAGTGAAGTGCATAGGAGCCTGGGCCAATACAGAAACCAAGCTAAAATAGAGAATCTGAGCAAAATGTGGGGTAACTGCATGTGCTTCTTTTGCACCTGCAGTGTCAGTAGGGTATGTGAGAAAGAAGGTCTTAGTGGCCCAAAAGATCACAAGTGAAAACCGGAATATGAATGTTACCCAGAACAACACTTCCATTCCAACTGACAAATAATAGAAAGGCCACCAACACCATGATAAAGGGGCTAAATGAAATTAAAAGCTTCCACTTCATATCCCACAATGTTAAAAGGATCGCTCTTATTTCATCAACAAAACCTGCAAAATAATATCAATATATACATTCTATATATATTGCACAAAATGGTAGTATAAAAAAGGCATCATGATTTTCTTAAATGTGTGAAAGCAAACCTGAAGAAAAGGAAGGAGAAGAACTTGAACTAGATGACAGTTCAATGATATCCCTAGATTTAACAATTTTTCGCTTTCTCAGATTTAATCGCTCTGTACTTGTACCAGTAGCATGTGCAGAACCTAGCTTGATAGATACATCTGACTCAGCAGTTTTTGAATTGTGCTTTCCATGAGTCAGAGAAATATCTATGATCCCAGTGCATGCAACAAAAATTACCCATATAATATTTGTTTGTCGAATAACAACAGCAAAGGCTCCAATCTATATCAATAAAATTGAATACATTACCACCATTCTATAAAAAAGAATTACATATATAATTATCTATATATGATACAAAAAGTATCCATATACAGGAAGCATCAGTAAACCTATTCATCAAGAGTTGTAGTGTTGTACAGACAATAGTAAAAAAACCAAGAGACTAAATAGTTTATGATCTAGAAGCAAGCATACAAGAGATAAAGGATAACAAAGATCCCTTTGAACTAGGCATAGCCATGAAAATAATGATAGGAACTAATTCTATAAAAGTTGCTTTTTCTGAAATCAGACTATAATTAAGAATTGATATTTGATAGAGTAATATACACAATTAAAAAGATATATCAATTTAAATAATTGTTTGCAACATTAAAATCTAAATATACCTTACCAATGCACTAAACCAGTAATTATTCTTCAAACTTGCAAGATACATGGCCAGCACTGCAGTAACAGATGCAACATCTGTATAATAGAGAAAATTGAAGAACCAGTGAAGGGGGTACAAGGATAGGACCACTGCACGAAGCATCACCTTTCTATCGTTAAGTGTTGGCTTCAAGTATGTAACTATGTCATATAGAATTATGCTGCAGACGACTGTTAAGACACCATTAACTGATCGAAGAATTGCAGCAGAGCACATGTCAGAAAATGATGAAGCAGCTTTTACAAAGTAAAAGCCTGGAAACAAAGAAGCAACATGGGCAAGTGAAAGATAGTACCTGCAGAAGTTTTTAAATTGCAAAGATCAACCTTGATATTTGATACTGCATTATACTTTCAATAATTTATTCAGGCAAAATGGTTTAATTTTTTCTCAATCTTCTGATCCAGAGATTAGAGAGCAGCACATCAAATATTATCTTCTGGCAGAACTGAATAGTTACAAAGAGTTTAGTATATCCATACAATTTGTAGTTATTCAAAGTGGCCCAGGTTCTCTTCTGAAACTGTATTTAGGATTCACTCATTCTTTTAAACAGAAAAATCATTGCATAACCTTATGTTTGCTCCCATTAGTATGATTATCATTTCTTAATCATACTACACTTAGATATACAATGCAAGCATCCAGTTCTAATTTGCTATATTTGGATTTTTTATTAACTTAATACATGAATGATCCTTCAAGCATGCAATACCCAGAACACCTTTCTCTATGTATTTGTCAATTATCATCAACTGCAAGTCCAGCTCCAGTACAGAAGCAGACAAAAAAATTTATAGCTGTGCCTAGAAAACAATAAAAGCATCACATCTTGTCTGGAAAATATCCAAATTGATCGTATATTCTAAACTGTTTCAGTGTCAAATTCACATGAAATATATTAGCACACCACAATTAAAAAAAAAGAATAATATAGTACAGTTGCTATACTGAAAGTTCTGCATACCCCACAGATTGGTATCTAGTTAATTATTTATGAATGATTTTATACTTTCTATTCTTCATCCTACAATAAGCTTTTTCCATTCACTTTCATTTCATCAAACATAAGCAGTTTTATTCTTTTTTTACATTCTTTTTAGTTAATAGAAGGTTAGGGGAAGGGAGGCTGCCCCATTCCAAGGACAAGGCATGCCACATGCTTCACAAGGGTAATACTGCCAGTCAAGGGAGATTTCTGGCAGTGAGAAGTCAACCTAAGCCTTTCAAGCAAAGTCCTTCAATTCTTTGCTGCCGAACTAACTCCCTTTGGCATAACAAATAAGCAGTTGGATATAAACTAATGGGATCAAGTTTTTCGTGAAGGTGGGGCTGGGGCAGCAAAGAGAAAAGAGAACATACAAGCCAGGAGGAGTCGTAATCATAGGGTCCCAACTTCCAAAATTTCCCTTGCAGTACTGCTGTGCCTGTGGTATATGAAATATCTCATCCTGCAAATTGGGAATATCAGTCATATTAAATGAAAGGTAAATTTCTTAGGTATCATTTTAAGTATCAACAACTGTCCATTCCCCAGTTTAATAAACTTTTCCTTACCATGTATGGCTCAGGAACTATGCGATTAACCATTATGGTGGTAGGAATAACCCATAAGCTCACTATTGTGGCAAGAGCTATTTTTCCCATTTCCCCCTCTATCTTCAGCAATAACAGGACCACGATGACAAATGTAATTCTAGATGTCGAAAAGTATATATCAATGTCATGTGCAACAGCTATGAATCCACATGCTTAAGCAGTATTTTCACAATAAAGCCTTTCCCTGAAGAACCAAGCTGAAGAAGTTATATGAACTGTATAATTGATGTAGAAATCTTTTCTCTGAACTTGAAATTGCATTACCTAAACAGGGACTACTGCAAAGAAATTCATATATCTAACAATTACATGACAATAGACACATAATAGGGTGCTTTATCTTCTCAAAACTAAAAATATCCATAATTCAAATGTAAAAGAAATATCTAGCTCCCAACTAACAAGTAGGCATTCAAAAATCAGCCCAAACCACAAAGTGTCAATTTCTAGTAAGTATGACATTATTCCATTCAACAACAAACCTTCGATGGAAGTTATAATTTGTTTCAAACTAAGTCATAGTGACAATAAAAAGTTTAAGAGGGGTTAATGATATTGGAGTATAAAAACTCTAGAGTCTAAGCGGGTTGAGTTACATGCAGATAATATAGTAAGTGATTTATGAATAGGGTATGACAACTGATTTGAGAATTGCGGACAATGACAACTCCACATAAATCAATAGTTTTGTACATCATCATTATCATAATAAACTGCACAATTGCAAGTCCGGTAAGTCTTGGTTCATTTTTTAGCTGATTGCAACATTACATAAAATAAAAAACACAAACATTAAAAAGGAAGTCCGATAAAATTTTGCAGAACCACGTATCATATCAGATAGCCCTGAATTCCTTTCATGCTCACCAACTAAAAGTTTTATTTATTTATTCTCAAGAATTCTCAAACTAAAACTTTTTTTGCATCATCATACTCATTGATAACTATGTTGAACTTTTCAACAGAAATCATGTTAACACTCCATAATTTGATGTTATTCCACAACAATGTCAATAACAACATTTTATTAAAAGAAAAAAGAACAAAAGCCAGCACATATCGATGCTCACTTCTCACTGAAATTATAAGTTAATTAAGTTATTACATTTCTCATTTATCCAATCAATTAAGCTAATAAGGTTTACAGCCTCCAATCAAAGGCTCTATTGTGTATTCCCTAAAATTAAAAAAGAAAAATTGCAACTTGACAATTTATTCGAGTACCCTTTTTCCCTCTGAAGACATACCCACACCTTATCAAACCCGTTTGCAAATACAGTAGATGCAGACATAATCCACAAAAGGATCGTTGAAAAATATAAATGTGAGGGAAAAGGGGGTCATAAAAGATGGGGTAAAAAAGAAGAAGAAATCAAGAACAAACCATACCAAAATGGTACCAAACAAGTACATGCACATTTGGAAAGAGAAGCGGCTAACGCGGAAGTGCACACTGTGATCTTCGACGAACAGAGAAAGAGAAAGAAACCCTTTGAGCTATGTTTGAAGGGATGATTGAATTGAAGTTTGATGATGTGAAATGTTTTGAAAAATAGAGCTTAGAAAAAGGATGAACTCAAATAGAAAAAGAAATTTGGAAAACAAAATTGGTACCCCAAAAACCCTGCTATTAACAATCCTTTGATTTGGGTCCCCAGCTCTCACTATCCAACTCCACTTCATTTCATTACAATATATATATATATATATAAAGATTTAATTTAGCTTGAACTTAATTATTTTTTTATAAAAAATAATGTAATTTAGATTAAAAAACAAAGGACAAACTTAGAGCAAAAGTAAACTATAGCGCTTATTAAGACTTAAAATGAGAATTGTTTAATAAAAAATTGTTGTATAATGGGTTATGAAATTATAGTGGTTATTAAAAGGGAGAAAGAGGCCTGCATTAAAAAGAGTTATTTTTAATAAGTAATTGTTACATAAGGAAAAACTCATGCATACGTATATAAATTTGATTGGTTAATTTTCTGAGTTAGAATAATTTAATCTATAAAAATTTTAAGTAAAAAAAATAAGAACTAAGAGTTTTAGGTTAAACAATAAAAAAAATTAATTTAAAAATTTAAGATTTGTAAGAAAATTAGAGTCAAAATTATGCATAACCTAAATTAAATTAAAAAATGAACATATAATTAATTCTAATTCTGTTAGTCTAAGACCATAAATTTTCAAGTATTACATTGAGAATCAATTTAAATTAAATTATCATGGACGATAAAGCTCTTGATATTTAAGTTTTTGACATAACTATTTTTTTTTTCACTTGAATAAAAAATTCATGGTGAAACTAGAACAACCGCTGCCAATATTTATAGATGCTTAATAGTATTATATTTAACTTTCTCTTTTATTCTTAAAATTATTATATATTAAAATAAAGTCAGTTAATCAAATGTTATTTAATTTTAAAATTAAATAATATTTTAGACTATATATAAATTGTTACACTTAGAATAAGGTGTACACACAATTATTCTTATATTATTTAAAAATTCACTTAATAATCTTAAATTAAGAAACCAAATTTCTACAGTTTTAACGTGTAGTGCAATATTTGTATAGTGTTTTATGCAACTCCTCCCTCTTCTCTCCTAGCACCCCTCACTTTCCCCCCCTATCCTCACTCTCACCAGTTTCCTTCTCTTTCTTGTTTTTCTTTCCAAACAAAAATTTTAATTTTCAGTTAAGTAAATTTTTTTACTTAAACAAAAATCTTTTTTTTTTGTATTTTGTTTAAATTAATCTAAATTTACTTAAATAAAAACATATTACAAATTATAATTCACATTAAAATTGTAGAGAATAATCCATATCCCTTAAAGCAACCTACGACAATACATTTTAACACCATACATACTCATTGTTGAGAATTGCAATTAAGGGTAACACTAATAATCATGCCACGCAAGAATATTCCATGTCAATAAAATATTATTTGATGAAATATGTAATCTATTTTTTGCTGTTATTTTACAGATGCTGACTTTAACCTTAAAATATCTTTCAGTATATCACTTCTCGGCATTATCAATTCACATAAACTAGTGTTATAGCAGCTCTTTTTAATATATATATATATATATATATAGCTTTATTAGGCTCATTTAATTTTCCTTGGGCTCAAGAAAAAAATACTAGAAATTGATTTCCTAATGGGTGTGTAGGGATTTTACAAAGTTGAAATGAATAGGATTTATTTTGTTTATTGATAAGGTATTAAAAAAATTATTATTTTATCTCTTATTAAAAAAAATTCTTAATATAGAAGACAAATTATATAGGTAAAATCAACATTTTAATATTTTAATTCTTCAATAATATTATAACTATTAAAAAAAATTATTTGCCACATATCAGAAAAGAATATTATTTATAAAAATAATGGAATAAACACAAAACAAATATAATAAATTATAAATGCATTCACTGTTCAACCTACTGTTACTTCAATTCTTTTAGCACATAAATTGGACCACCATTTGATTTTTCAAATGCATTTAGTGATTGAACCATAGGAATGGATGTTGACCCGAAAAGAAAATTGGACATGCCGACCGTAGTTCTTCATCACTCAGCACTATTCCTATGGATTTAACTAAAATTACAAGTATAATGTTAAGTCAATATAACTCTTCAAAAATTAAATTCAAGTTTTATATTCTCGTTTAAGAAAAGATCTTATACTTGTATTTAATGATATATTAACTTACCATTTGATAAAAATTGACGATTTGTGGAATTACTAATAAAAATAAATCTATAAAGTAAAGTATTAACATACAATTAAATAATTTGTGCTGTAATTAAACTAAAAAAAGTAAATAGTCTTTTACTCATTCAAAGTTTACTTTTATATTAGATATAAGTTTTTATTTTTTATTTTACATTATATTTATTATATTAATATTTTATGCAAAACCTTTTTTATTATATGTTATGTTATTTGGGAGATTAATTTAATAACTAATAAATTAGCTCATTTAATACTTTTATTTAAAAATCTCTTTTATAATGATTTTTAGATGCAATTTTTATCCTTTTAATTTGAGAAAGTTTAGGTATTTTATAATTTTTTGCTTACTAAAAAGATATGAGTCCTTACATTCTTATTAATTTGGATTTAGTTTCTATAATTTTTTTTAAAGTTACATTTTATTTCTCACGAATAACTAATACTTATTGAGACACCGATCTCAGAAAAATCAAAATCAAAGGCTAAAATATAGTGATCGCAATAAAAGGAATACAAAGACAAAAATTTATATTACACGTCAAAGGAAGAAAAAGAATACAACAGCATGCGTATGAAAGCAAGTAATGAAAGGTTTGGAATCTAATCCAAAGAGACATAGAAGCAGCAGAAGGCGACAAGCACAGGCTTTTACCAAATCATTTTAAAAATTGAGCCAAGATTTAATGGCCCACATTGATTTATCATTGTGATTTAACGCTATAATACTGTGTGAGTTGAGCCAAGCTGAAATAGTAATTGTAATTAATTAAAAACATTGACATTTCATAACAGCACAGTACAAGAAAACTCTGTAGAAAGTAACGAAATACGAAACAAGAGCATGGAATATGATGAGACCAAAAAATATGGTATAAGATTTGTGGTTGACTTCACTTGACTGAACATGAAGGGGACCCACAAATTGATGACGTGAGGGAATTGGAAAATGAACGGTGGAGATTGTGAGGAATGTTGACAGAGATGACAAGTCCAAAAACGGACAAGGCATTGGACACTCTGAATCATGCATTTATGGGCTCTAACTGTTCCATGCTTGCGTTTTCAAAATGTCAGCACTAAGGACGAAGCATGCACTTACACACACCCAATGACCCCACCTGTGACTCTGAATCACTTCCCATTTTGCCAAGTCTCACCTTTCCTACCCTTGTCCCTTCCCCTGTCTTCATACCATTTTTCTTTTCATCACTCTATATGCTTCCCTGCTTCTTCATCTTTCACACTCATAATCATCACTTTGTAAAATAGCTTTTATTGACCTTAAATCCCAAGAATAGGGTACTAGATACTGATATAGTCATGAAGGATCGATGCGGAATTGGTTTTTTTTTTTATATATAAATATTCATTATAAAAGTGATAATTTGTCATATTAGTTCAAACATAACTTTAAAATAATTAATTTTAATATAAAATTATCAAACATATTAAGATTTTTTAATAGATATCAAGTATCAATAAAAAAAAGATGTTAATTCAGTTCACAGTAAGTTGAATTTAGTAGTAAATTAACTCAACTCGGTTCACCTCTAGAGTAAGGCAGAAAAACATTAACTTGGGTCAACTCAACACAGCAACTCTGTGGGTTGACTCATCAAATTTAAAAGTAGTAAAAGATTATAAAAATATAAAAAAAATACAAAAATAAAAAAACACAGACATTGAAATAGATATTAAAAAAAAATAACTTAATTTTCTTAAATATCTTGATTTTTTAGGATTATTGAATTAATGAGAAATAATAAAATAAATAATATTATAATAAAGTAACAATTAAAATTAAAATTTGCGAATTGATCCAACGCACTGTAGATTGAGTCGTATAATTAATAGATTAAGTGAAGTACATAAAAAGATTCAACTACCTTATGGGTCAATATTTTTAAACTCAATTCACTTATAATTTACTCCAAGCTGAGTTAATTTACATATTATTTAGTTTATGTATACTATAACTCATTTTAACAACTCTTGTGAATTTTGTATATATTAATTTTTATTAGCTCTATGTCATGTGTCTTGGATTGTCAAATTTGAAAAGAAAACATAGACAATGTCGCTGGTTATTACTTATTAGTTTGTGATTATATAATTGTTTAGCATATTGCTCTTGTGTCATCCAAATGCAAAATAGTTTAGTAATATTAAATAGATTACCTATCAATTTACTCGCTTAACTGACATAATCTTCTTAAGGATTTTGGATCTTTTGCAATAAACAGTATTTGGTATCATAAATAATGATCTATTAATCACATCCAGTTACATAAGACGTGCATCTCATTACACCGAATTCAACTTTTTTTTTTAACTCTACTTTATTACACGAAATATTGCACAGTTCTAACGTAGGAACATTGAATTTGATGTGGTGAGGCACATGCTATGCAATTGTGAGGTCAATAATCTTTTACTGTACCAAATATTGCACTATTAATTTGATCGGATGTGAGATATAGAAAATTTAATGGAGTACAACAACATCCTCTATTTTTAAAAAAACAGTTAATTTTGTTGGAAATGTTTTCAGCTTAGTTCTTACATGTTACAGCAATTATTAATTATTAGAGATGCTTAATTATCAGGAAATAGATATATATAGTACTGAATTAGCCTTACTTGGGGAGAATCTGATTCATTCTGTTAAGAAAAGTTAATAATAAGGTCATGATGACTCATTCACACACAATCAGTTCTCTTCATTCACTCATCTTATTTCAGAATCTCTCTCTCTCTCTTTCTCTCTGTCTGTCTGTGCATGAACTGAAACCTCACTTGAATGCTCCTCTAAAAGGAACATCAGCATGAGACTAGTACTTTTTACCTATCTAATTCACCACTCTCTTTTATGCCTGCTCAATCTCTTTCCTTTTTGTCTCTTCCTCTCTACTTCACTGTATCTTTCTCTCTGTCCCTCTATTTATACATCACCTTACTTGCCTCAAGAAACTCACCACCCCACAAATCTAAAGAGAGAAAGAAATGTCTCCACCAGGTTCATCAAGATGGAGCCCTACCACAGAACAGCTAATGATCTTAGAGGAACTGTATAGGAGTGGGATTAGAACTCCTAGTGCCTCTCAAATTCAGCAAATAACGACTCACCTTTCTTTCTATGGAAGGATAGAAGGAAAGAATGTGTTCTATTGGTTTCAGAACCATAAGGCTAGGGATAGACAAAAGCTCAGGAGGAAACTCAACAAGCAGCTGCAGCTACAGCAGCAGCAGCAGCAACAACAACAACAACTCCAAGTTCATCATCATTTCCAACTGAATCAGGATATCACTAACCATTTTGTTGGTACCTTTGGTTATCCTCCTTGTTCTCCTACCCAAGATTTTTCCTTTTATAACTCAGCTACCTTGCTTTTTCAGGTAATCTAATTCCTTTTTCCCCATGCATGTACAAAGCCTGAGCAATGTATTAATGTTTAGTATCTTTATTTTCTGGGTAATGTTTATGATAGCCTTTGGATGCATTTGGTAACATAGCATCCTTCTATAAATTAATGATTAAAATAAGGATGTAAATGCACATAATGCCACATGGGCAGTAATGCACATAATGTCAAATAAATTAATAGGCATGGTTTTTCAGTTTGAGCTATATATGATGTCAGGGAAAAATTAAACTGTTTTCTACTTTTTTTCATTTCAATGTTCAGGGAGGAGCTGCAAACACAACAGAAGAAGCATTGAATTGCAAGTGGAATGTGTATAATCCTCAAAGCAATTTGGTAGAGAAGAAAGAGATGACATTGTGCAATTATGGTTGGACACTTGTGGATGTTAACCAAGCATCTTCATGTTGCACTCGACCTCTCAAGACTCTTGATCTCTTTCCACTGACAACTACAAGAATCAAAGAAGACTGCAACACATCCAAGCAACTCTAACTCTCTATCATTCCATTTTCATCAACCAAAACCAAAACTTAATGTGACATTAGATGTTAATATAGCCTATTGCTTAAGGAAAAAAAAATTAATCTTTATATATATATACCATGCTGGAATGTACCAATTACCAAGAGTACTTAGTCTTGTACGTAGGACCTTTGGTTGCACCAACACCATGTGAAAGCTAGCATGATTGAACTCCAATATCTTTCTTTCTGGCTCAAAATCCTGTGGTACATGGTATATGCCAGTGTGATACCAAGATTATTTTATCCAAGAAGACCATATAATGAACTCGTCCCTTATTTCTAAGTGTTTTTCAGCCACACCTAATTACTGTCTTCACTTTCTTTTGTTTAGTAATCACACACACATATATATATATATATATATATATATATTTTTTGGCTAATATGCTGAATTTATATGGAAATTGTGAAACTGGTAACTTGTGTATTGATACTACATGGTCCCATCCTGTTATATCTTTTAAGTCTATTTAATGTGTACCGGTTGTCCTTTATTCATCAATCTCGAGTTTCTCTCATCGTGCATGATGCTAATAAAAAGACTTTATGGACATACGGTGAATCAGCCTTTTGTTAAACATGTAACTTTCTGAGGGAATGAAAAGGTAGCTGCTGGTTTTGTGAATGAATCACACCCGCACTAAACAGCCAACATAAAGTACATGGTCACAACAATCAATATTGTTGAGTAGATGGTAGTGATTGGTGCTAATGTTGCATGACACATAAAGAAGACAACATAATGGACATTTCATAGTAGTTTTTCTAACGTTTTAAGAAAACATAATATAACCTGTATATAACAAATTATAAAAAGGATTTTTCTAATTCATGCAATACTGTACAGGATAAAAAATTTTCATACATTGAATTTTATAATTTTTAATAAAAATTTATTATATCTAATGTCTTATAATGTTAACTAATTTTTAAAGTTAAATTTAAGTAATTAATACTAGTAAAATTTAATTAAAAGAAAATTTATTACATTTTTATAATTTTTTAATAAATATATTTTATTAAGGGTTTAAGTTAATAAAAGTTAAATTTTTTTATTAAAAATTACGTGATATTATAAGATCTAATACATTAATAATATTAAATATTTTATCTTTTTACAAAATGAGTTATTAATTTCTTATATAATCTAAACTATCTCTTAAAAAACTATATATATATATATATATATATATATAAGACATTATATAATTTTAATCCAACCCAAATTGCCATTGCCACCTGTTAAATATAATGTTGTTAGCTGCTATTGTTACTATGTGTAATATTCATTCGTTGTCTCTCCTCTTACCATTGTTGTCAAATAAAAAAAAATCAGAGGAAATATTTATTTTATTGAAAAAGACATATTACACAAAATACTGCTTAATTGACAAGTAACTCGATATCTCTTAAACAAAATTTCAAGTTCAAATCCTTGTGTATGTTAAAAAATTTTAGTAGTAGACTCAACCACCACATCCAGATATATGATACAAATCAGATCTGGGATTCAGATTAAAACGAATGGAAAAAATAAAATAAAATATATTATTGTGATAAAACTAGGTTGATAATAAAACTAGGGACACATGCTATTAGTAATTTACCTTTTGAGAATAAAATACATACCTGTATAGGGTAATGTATTACTATAATAACTAATTATTGTGCATTTATCTACTGTACATTGTTCTGAATTCTTAGAGGCCTAGTATAATTGGGTTCCCCAACTAAAACGAAATTTATGTCTTTTTTTTTTCTACAGTCTATAGGCCCATTTCATAATTATTTTATTTCGAATCTCTATATACTGTTTGAATACAGATCATATACTTAGGAGCAGGTGTTGTTTTTATAAGGAACAAGAAAAGGAGCGCACAGAATTAGCTATAAAACGTGTGTTTTTTTTTTTTCTTTTATTGAATACTACTTGAATTTAATTATATTTAAAAAGTAATAGAATAAGTTATTTATTTTATAATTTTAAGATCTAAAACTATTAACTGATAAAAAATTAAAAATAGATGACTGAGCAACAATCACTTAATTTTTCAAACATCATGAGAAAATACTTTAACTCATGCTGAAATTATTAGTATTTCTATTTTATAACTCTTTTTTCTGCCTTAAAGTGAATTAACTAGCACAATGCAAGTTAACTGAAAATGAGAAATCAAGTCTTGTAGTTATAAGATATATATATATTTTTTTGTGAGTGAGGAGGCTTACAGGCCAAAACCCAAAAATCATATAACTCTCGCTAAGTTAGCGGCTAACAAATGGTGAATGAAAATAGGAAGTAAATCATAAACAATTATATTCTCCTCTAAGAAACAATGTTTAACTAACAAGTCTGCCACTAGGTTGCCTTCTCTACCTATATAAATATACGAGTACATGAAGCTATTAACTCATATATCTCTTGCACCAAATCAAAATAAGTGCTTTGATGAGGACATTCATTCTTCAGCAAAGTGATTTCCTCTGAGGATTCAGATTCTATCAAAATGCGGGTACCCAAGTTTCTAAGATGAATTAGCTAAAGACCTTGTTTTATAGCCCACAACTTAGCTTGAGTGACAAAACACTGGTTTATTTTTCTTGAAAATGTCATAATAAATCTATCATTTGAATCTTGAATTATACTGTTGCAAGAGCTTATTTTCACGTACAACACAGCACCATCCCCATTCAACTTGATAAACCCCGTAGGAGGACAACTCCATTTCCTCATATTATGTGTGTACCATCTCTTGCACTAAACGGAGAGTTGATGTTCACTATTGACTTCGCACGACCCATTACTTTAGATACTATTTGATTTGCTGATGAGTATGAATGTTGAAACACTCAATTAAGTTTTTGAATTGAACTTCATTGATTTTTTTAGTTTTATAGAAATTCCTTTTAATTCATATGAGTGTTTATTGTTTTCCATTCTTCAAGTTAATTTTTTTTTTAGCATCTCTTTTGCATGTTTATTTTTACAAGTAAAAATCTCATTCCTTTGAATAGTTTTCATGTAAAAAAAAAAAATGATCCACAAAACTTAATTTAGTCTTATTAAAGACATTCTTCATTTATTGTTTAAATTATTTAATTAGTAGTAAGTGATTACCTATTATCAAGAAGTCATCAACATGCAAAGAAATAATAAAAATTTTAGCACTAACATGCTTGACACAAAATGTAAGACACAAAGTGTAAGTTGAAATTTACTTTTTTTTTTTTTTAAGTTTAAGTTTAACAAATGATCATTAAATCTTTCGTACCACATTTTAAGGAGTTTGTTTTTAGCTATATAATATAATTTTTTTAAAATAAATTTTATCTTCTTGACCTTTGATCACAAAATCTTATGGTTGTTAATATAAATCTTCTATTTTAAAAAATTATTGAAAAATGCTTACTTGACATCTATATAAAACATTTGCCACTTTTTTTTTTTTTTACAACAATAACAATTAGTAGCCTTATTGTGTCTTATTTCGCTACTAGAGCAAAATTATACACAATTAACTTCTAATATTTGAGAATAACCCTTCACAATAAGTCTTATTTTATGCTTGTTTATAAAGTTATTAGGATTGAATTTTATTTGAAATACACATTTTACTCCTATAACATTATTTTTGTAAGGTCTTCTACCTCCCTATGCTTGATTTTTCTAAGTCATGGGTAACTCCTCTTATATTTGCATCCAACCATTTTTGGTCCCTTGGAGCTTCTTCAAAACTTACAAGTTCATATACAACTATATTGCACATCACTGCATTATTTTTTTTGTAGATGTCAGCAAGTCTTATGCTCCAAACATGCAAATCATCCACTATATCTTTTAGCTTCATTATAACATTCTGATTCTTCTTGAGTCATTCCTACACTACTATTCATTTTCCATGAAGTGCAATCTCTTTTGACAAGAATTGTTCTATTGAGGTTGAAAAATCTTATAAACTTTTAATACTGTATAGCTAAAAACTATTTTAAAAAAATATTATTATTAAATATTTAAGATTAAATCTCAAAAGTTGATGACGATAAAAATTGTCATCAGTAAGTTTTTTATTATTGTTTAAAAACTTATAAATTTTTTGTTAACAATTTTCAAGTAAAAAAAGAGGCATTGGTGATTTTTGTTATTTTGAAAAACTTTCATATTTTTGTAATTTTTTTTAAGACTGTTATATTTTGGTTTTTTTTCTTCTCATTTTTTCCACATAAAAAAAGATCCAAAAATGTTTTCATTATTTAACAATAATAAATAAAGATTCATGTATTGAAGACAAATATTGGAGATGATCTTTTTATTATTATTATTATTATGAAACTTTTATTTAGTTATATGAATAAATTAAAATAACATGTTTTTGATAATTTTAATTTAATTTTAGTTTTATTTGATCTTAGAACACATTATCAGTGTTCAAAGTAACATGTAAATATTTATGGGTTAAACAATTTTTGATTGTGTAATCTGTTAAAGTATATATTAGTAATTTTTTTTACCTATAAATTTCTAAACACCCTAACCATAATCCTATGAACTTTTTAGCACATAAAACTTTTAATTTATTGAGCTAAAGTTCAGGCTGAGTCAATTGAGTTTTTTTTTGACAACTTTATCTATATTTATCAATTATTTGGTAATTTCATTTTATTTAGCTTATGCCTACTATTTTCACGATTGACCTATTTTTTCCTTTTTCTCCAAATTTGTTGAGGAGTGTAAGAAGTAATCACTTGATGTTTTATGTACATAAAATTTATATAATTTTATAAATTTTAAATTATTTAATATTTTATTAAATAATTTTATTTTAACATATAATATATAGTATAAAATGTAATAAAAAAACCAGTTATAAATTTTTATATTTATAAATACTTAATTTATTTGTCTATTTAAAAAATTAAACCAATATTAACTGTTATTTTTTATTAATGTTTTTATATAAAAAAATTAAGTATAATAAATAAAGCATTTACACCATATAAGTAATCCAAAGATATATCAAAGTGAGAATCACTTATAAAAGATATATTAGTAAATTTATTAAAAAATTATAATAAAATGATTGGGTTTTTTTTAATGAACTTTCTTTTCTCTCAAAATAGATAAATTAAAACTGAAAATATGATAAAACGAAATGATCAATTTAAATTAACAAAATTATACCATAGTTGTAAATGGATTTGACTTTTTTAATATAATAAAATGTTTAAAGTAATAAATAAATAAAATTGAATTAAAATACAACATGAACTTAAGTGTTTTTTTTACATAATAATAATAATAATAATAATAATAATAATAATAATAATAATAATAATAATAATAATAATAATAATTTAAATCAATACTACAGGGTTACGTTTCTGTGTTACATTTTTTTTAAAGTAATTATTAAGAGTAAAACTACACATTATGTATATATTTTAAAATTAAAATTGATTAAAAATAACGTGTGAATTACATACTTTTTTTATTACAATGAATTTTTTACTCATATTTTTGTTAATTTTATTTTAAATTTTGAATATTAAATTTATTACATAACTTTCTTTTATTATCTTATATAAATTTTTATATTTTTCTTGAATACATATTTTTACATTTATAAAAATTATCTTATGTTTTCTATTTTTTTTTTCAAATTTAAAGTTTATTTTTGAAAGTCCTATCTCTTAAATTTATGATTATTAATATGTATTGACTGTTGACATTTAATTTAATTTTTATACTATTTTTATCGTAAAATAAAATATATTTTAAAATTATTTAATTTCATTAAATATTTATAGTTTTGATATATACATTCATAATTATAGTTAGAGTTAAGTTAAAATATTTTTTTAAAGTATGCTATTATTTAAAATAATAGACTTGAATTGAAGATGATATTAAACTAATATCTCAATAAAAATATATGTTTAGAGGTTGATAATTGAATGACTTTATTATTAATTAACATACAGTAATTGATGCTTTGAGAGTATCAATTAATTGAGATATTTTAAATATTATGCTAAGTGTTTTTTATATTAAATATTTATTTGTTAATTTAATATTAAGTTAAAATTTCACAATTTTTTAATTTTTATTCTCTTTTAAATAAATATTTACTTTTCTTAATGTTATAAATTTATTAAAAAATTATATATAATGTATGAGTATTAATTCTTAAATGAGAGTATTTTTAGGAATTAGTTCGTGTTCTTATTATGCTAAATAATTTTTTTATATTAAGCAACTAATTTTTAATTTGATATAATATAAATTTATAATTTATAATATTATCTCTTAATTAAATTTGATTTAATAAAATAAAGTATTTATTATCAATAATCACAATATTTATTTTTAATTTATTAAATTTTAAAATAATAATATAATATTTTTATTTATTTACATGAAAATTTAATTTGTTTATTATATTTGTCCAGTGCATGAAAAGTTTATTAGTTCTATATAAAAAAAAGTGGACTAATTTATGTGTATACACTACTATGGTGGTGCAGATGTCGATTGTAGAAATCTTATAATTAAATATCATTAATTTATATCTCTTTCCTATCCAACGCTTAGGCTCCTGAATGAAGAGTAAAATAAAAAGAAGTAAAAATTAAAAAGCTTTTAACCAAATAAGAACACAGCATAATTTTAAGCAAACATAATAATAACACATTAGCAGTGGCATCAAATATGATTTTTCTATATTTTATATTTCATTTACTTATTATTTTATGCTTCAACAAAATGTGACTAAAGGACTTTCTACATTTTAATATATGAATTATATTTTATGACACCGGTGCATATGGGTCCACATCTACTTGCCAAACCGTTCACATTGCTCTTTCATCACAAGTTCACTGGTGGATTGATGAACATTAATTTAGTGTAGAGCATATGAAAATTTCCAGGATACAAAGAGAGGATGAAGACAAAGGTTGAAAAAAGGGGAAGAAAAGATAAACAACGCTACAAACATCTAGACAAAAACAACACAACTCAGAGATCTAATTACATACAACAAGCTTACAAAAATTTTAATCCAAACTCACTGTAGATTCTATAGTCTTCTATTGTTTGATGCAGCCAGGTGGCAAATTAAGGATTGATGCTCTGTGAATTGCTCCTTTAGAAATTTTCCTTGTGAAATTGAAAGCGGGTTGATGAGTTTAGGCTGAACTCTTGACAAAGGCTCTTCAATGGTTTTGTAAGAGTAGGACTTCCACAGTAGAATACACCTGCACCAAGAAAATAGCACAGAAAATTTTCATTTCTTTCAATGATTGTTTTGGCATTGTTAACTGAAGTCTTCAGAGCGTTGTTAAGGAATCAATCAATAATATGTTTTTATTAAAATTATGGTGTAGGTGCATGAACAATATTTTCGAATAAAAGCTTTCGACTTTTGATTCCTTAACTACTGCTCTGAAGGTACTGACTATTATTTTCAATTTTTCTCTTGAAATTTCACAATGCTTCACCATTTTGTATACCTATCCGAGAATTTTGATGTGTGCTTGCTAATTGAGAGAAGACCTTTTTCCAATTGGGTCTTGCAAAATGAGTTCGTATCTGAGATAAGATAACATCATACAGAAGCTAAGTTACCATTGGCTGAATGATGAAAATGTTTACACTAAATGAGTACTAAATCAATCAATACCCGGCTTTCTGAAACTACATCAAGTCCATTTTTAGCATGTTGCAGCTTCTGAATCATGGCAATAAGCGCAGACCGTGCATCACCTTCTTCATAGACACTAGTCAAATAGTTGTGCATTTCTATAATGCCCTGCATCATTTAGGCCATGCAGTGATAAATTAGGTGCATAGAGGCAACAAAACAAGTAAAAACACTGATGAATTTGGTCCTTTATCTCACATCATGGTCATAATCTGCAATATCATCCATGACACCTTTAAACCATTCAAATGAAGCCTGCTCTCTTGTTACCCAGTAAAAATATGCTCTTTCAGGACCTTTCTTATTTTCATCTGAGTAATTGCTACGGAAGGAGTCCCGCACATAAGTTCCCTGTTATGTTTAAGTTGTTAGCCCCTTGAATTGGAACTCAGGTATAAAATATAAATATGCTGCTAACCAAAATAATTTAAGTTCTTGCAAATGTGACTTAATTTAGTTTTTCAATTTTTTGTTGTTGTTTTGGTCCTCATAAATTTTAAAAGTTTATAAAATAATCATTGTTATAATTTATAATAGACATATCACGTCATGCGCTATCGTAAAATGATTTATTGATGTGATACAACTAGACGTAAGTCACTCTATCATAAAGTAACAACGGAAAATGTTTTAAAAAACAATAAATTTAACAAGGATAAAAACTAACAAAAAGAATTTATTCTGAAGCACTAAATCATATTTAACCAAAAGTTTGTTAACCTTGTCACTTCCTTCCCGAGGACTTTCTGACTTCATGTGGTTCAAGAGATCTTTGAGAATACTGATCATTGGCGTGGCTCCAATTCCTAGACCTATGAGCAAGAGGACATCATAATTCTTATAATTTTGTGCCGGGGCTCCATAGGGTCCTTTGATGAGGATCTTTGGATATCTAATGCTAGAAAAAGGAAATAATATAATATCAATATTTATATATCAGTTTGAAAAGTTAAGAATAAAGAGTCGCTATTTACCTAGTTTTTGAATGGTCGACATAGCTTGAACTTGCTCTGGTTTCCAGCCTCACAAGGGTTCCCCTTCTTGCTTGTGCACTCTCGGGCTCACAATCCTGCATTTCTAAGTATTAGTACAACTAGATGTTCAACAATTATCATATTTCTATGACCCTTTTTCTAATTAAATGCGTAGCTTGGAGTTCACTATTCAAACATTAACATCACCTTTGCAAATTTGTTTTTAAGCTCTGTAGTCCAATCTCCCAAGGTTCTTATATGGACACTCAAGTAGTCATCTCCAGGTGCAGAGGTGATAGAAAAAGGATGCCTGTACCAAAAGTTCAATTTAGTCTCCTAGGTGAAGTGATTTTGCAGCAAAATAACTTTTCTCGTTATTACCATTCAAAACTAGATATATCTGGACACTTGACAAAAATATACATTCCACTTTTATACTTGAATCCATGAGGTTTGGTCATGTAGAGTGCTAGAACGTTTCCTGTGTATATTATTGCCTGAAATTTCCATGTAGTAAAATCATTTCCATGCTACATCGTGAAGAACCAAGGGGAAGTTTCTGACACACACCTTAATGATGCTGACACGGTGATCTTTACCCCTAAAAAATGGATGAATCCTCTCAAAAGTATAAAGTAATAGTGGAACTACAAGGTACATCCAAGTCTGCATTAATCAAAGATATAGTCAACTGATGTATAAACATTATCAAAATTCAATGACGGAGAACTGGATAATCAGCCATATGGACCAAATACATACATCATCTACAAATTGAAGTCAGAATCTATATAAAGGGTCCATTTGGAAAGTGTAGTTTGTTGGTAGTTAGAACAATTAAAAATGTTAAAGAGAGATACACGTACCGTTTTCTTGCGCCAGTCCTTGGTGAGGAATAGAAAGTAGCCATGTATGACCAGGAGTATGTAAACCACAATAAGTAAATGATGTGCATACCAAAAGGCATTGAAACCAGCCAAACGATGCAAAGGGGAAGGTAACTTGACAACACTTTTTCTGAAATAATGTGTTGCTAAAGTGAAAGTGAAGGCCATAATCAAGACCATAAAGATTCCAGTTAAACCAGGAGTACTCTTAACTAGGGTCAGGTAATTTGGCTGCTCATTGTTAAAACCTGACCCAAGTATCGTAATGAACTTGTGTTTTGGGCACGATATGATTCTTGGAAAATCACAAGTGATGTGCATTATTACATGAATAAAAGTCCCTAAAACTACAGCTACTGCAATGGTCTTGTGGAAGTTTATGTTGTCATCGAAAGGGATGATTCTATTAAGAAATGATGCTCTTAGTTCTGTGAGTGTTCTTCTACACATGGTTAGGATAATAAGAGCCATGTTGAATTTGAGAGTCTCAGCAGCACCCTTTGCAAAGCAGACACAGTAACCCATGACTTCAAATGCTTCTTTTTCCCGGTATTGGCGAAACTTCCAAACATAGAGCCCCAAGTTTATGGCCAACCAAAGTGTGATAACCCATATTTTTTTCCATTTCTCATGGGCAAATTCTGCGGCTCTAGAGACAAATTTGCTTGTAGGAGTTCTATACATTCTTGGTATCATAGCTCTAGTCAAATTCATGGCTCCAGTATTAAGTGTGCTATATTCTTCAGCAACCATTTCCCTTAGCAGAGTTTCTAGCTGCCACATCTGTTTGAACAGAAAAGAAAGCATACAAAAGATGAAGGGTTCATATATAAAAGATGAAAGTAGTAAAAATTTGCACAATTCTAACCTCTATATATCCATGATGATCAGGATCAAGCTCTTCCATGATCAAAGATGCATATCCAGCAGCATGCTGTTTGAGATTTCCTAGCTTATTTGCCGAGGCACTCAACACTATAACCTTTTACACAACAACATTTAAAATTCTTTTTTATATAATAGAAGAGATAAAGAGGAAAAAATAATCAATCCAAAGAATTTAAGTGGTCTCAGTACTCACCTCCTTAACCTCTTCTTCTGATAGCCTACCATCCCCATTCTTGTCACACCTGAAAATAACTGAATTCCTTTATGCCATTCCATTCAATAAGTAAAAATAACATGCAAAAGGTAGACATATAGAGTATATGTGTGTGCTCTTTACATGTCAAAGAACACTTGAAGTCTAGATTCAAGATCTTTGTTAGTCATGTCCTCCCAGAATACTCTAACTTCTTCCAAAGTTATCCCATTTTCTGCATAGAATTTCCTTCTCCTTGCCAAAGCCTCATAAAGCTCCCCAGCAAAATCCTTTGAGTCTGCCCCCATGCCTATGCAACACAAATTGTGGAATTTGAGACTAATTAGGACCAGTAAATGCATTACAAAAACCAACCCAATAAAACATAGGAGTTATATGTATGTATGAATGTATTGATATGTATATATATAATTATGTACCCATGCAGGTTCCGAATTTGTCTTTTGAGAGCTTCCCATCAACTGCATGTTGAGCAAAGCGCTTCTCAATAGACTTCCATGCATCATCTTCCTTTCCTGTGACCGTTCTATCAAGAAACCGTAAACCCTTAAGCCCTCTGGCTGCTCCTGATTCCATCCTCACCATCTTGCTTCCATTCTCATAATTCCTGCTTCTCACATTGCTATTCATAGCACCCTCATTGGGAGATTTTAGCACCACGCTTTCATCTGGGGGTCCTTCATTTTTTGGCTTCTCCACAATAGGATCAATCTCAATGCTCTCAAGAATCCACGTTGATGATTCATCCTGCCCTTCTCTCTCTGATGACATCAATAAAAAGGGGTTTCCAAATTTGATGATTTGGTGAAATTGGGGAATCTGGCTGTGTTTGAAACCCAGGAGAAAGAGTGCAAAGGTAATGTTTTGGAATTGTTAAGAGAGAAGGGTATTAGAGGAAAAGCTGAAATAGTCAAAACAAGGATTAGAGAGAGATGATATCAGTATATAAATGTTTGTGTTGATGCTTTGCTAATTATAGGAAAACACTTGCTGTGTCTGTCTTGTCCAACCAACCAACCATGTCCCTTAACCAACAGTGAAAACTATCGAAAATACGTACAAACTGTTTTTCCTTTGCATGCTTTTTCTCGCACCAATATCACTTCTACTTTCCAAGGAAATTCAAGTCGTGACTTCCACCACCTTTCTCTTAATTCGTTTTTTATCCTTTCATCTCCAGCAAATTTTGTTCATTCGCCATTACTTACTTACATGAGGAAATCTATTTGGACGTTACAAATAAATATAATTTAATTAAATACATAATAATTAAAGAGTTTAGTTTAATAAATTTTATCCACAGTTTATTTCAATAAATTAAAAAATTATAAGTTACTTTTTATATTTAAATAGACATGTTTAATTTAAAACTTTTATATGATGAAATAAATTTTGCAGAAGTTCTTTTAAACATTGTCCGACTCTTTTTTTTCTCTTAATTTAAAATTTTTGTTAGTTAAAAATGAAAAATAAGAAAATCTACATAACTTGTAACGTGTTTTTCTCTGCAAAAAACATCAAGGTTTTTTTTTTTTTCTAGAAGATGTTTGAGTGGGTGATTGCAAGTGAAAAATAAAAATATTTTATTATATAACTTGTAACGTGTTTCAGATGGTGGTTATCAACAACCATGCCTGCAATATTTTATAGTAACTGCGATTCTTTTCATGGGAGCTGAAGTTGTAACCATTTGCAAGGAAGGATGTTTCAGTAGGTAATTGACTTTTGGATTTTGGGATTTCAACTTTTTTTCACAATTGGATAAACGGTGTCGTTTCGTCTATAGCTTATATATATATATATGATATTCTCAGATTGGAAAATTGACGTGCTTGCACTACTCCATATTAACATGTTTGGTCCAGCTCAAATACGCACTATACTGGATTATAGTACTGTACAATGATGGTGCCTTCAACTGGTTATTGAAATAATAATCACCCTTAAAACAGACATGGAAATCTTAAATATATAGAGCCAATGTAAGTTAATATTTTATTCTATTAACCAAATACATTTACTTAGTACATTTATACATAAATGAATAACTAATTAATATCATAAAAATTGAATATTCAAGCTACTGTCATGTCATCCATTTATACAATTTTATTTTATTTTTATAATTATCGCATAGCTTAATTACATGTGATGTGATTATGATTGAGGGGTATATTTGTTACACCTATAATATTTTTTGACTTAGGTTTTTCTTATCGTTATATCTTATCTAGTTTTGTTGAGGAAATGTGGGAACGCTTTGTTCAATCGTTGAATATCAGTGTATCACTATTCAGCCTTTTACTAGCATAAAGCTAAAAGCTAAATGCATGTTTGTTTAGTTTTATTTTACGATCTCATTTACTTTAACGTTTTCATTAAATTTATATTTATAAATGTTTTAAACATTAAATAAAACCCACGCTCCAAAAAGAAAAGTGGAATTCCCACTTTGGTCCGTCCATGGCATGATTAGCAATGACTTTATTTAATAAGGTAGCAACCATTTCCCACAAAATATATGTAAATATTAAAATATCTTTTCTTAATATAATTTTTGTCTGATAAAAAAATAATTTTTAATATAAATTTTAAAATTTGAATTAATAATAGAATATATTATGTCAATAAATGATTTTATTAATAAAAATATTAATATAATTATCAACAAAGATATATTAGTGTAATTTATTTTTTGTTAGTATAAACTTTTAAAATTCATATTAAATTTTTTTATTAGATAAAAACCTTATTAATACAGACCATCTTATTATATTGAATTTTTTATGTTAATAAATATTTTTTAATGGTATAAACCTAAAGTCTAACACGTCTGATCGAATCCATTGATTGTTTGTTAGTGGCATATATATATAACTGTCTTTAATTATATTAATAAATCCTATTTTTATAAATATTTGATCTTGCTATTTTATCATAAAAAGCGACAACATACCAAATGTAACAAATCATAAGACGCACAAACAAAAATGAAACATAAAATCTCGAGATATTCATGTTAGATCAACAACTTGGTCTCTTCCAATAATGCGAGGTTGCCACCAAAAGCATACTCAAACAAAATATTTTTCTGCCCTCAAGTTTCATTTTGTTGATCGCACGTCTTCTCATTGTTTTTTCTTTATATATATATATATATATATATATATATATATATATATATATATATGTATTGATATTTTATTGTGAAATTCTTTCTTTCTTTCTTGATAATGTGTGCCGATGATGTTTAATGGGTGTTTTCTGCTGCATATTGATTATTCTATTTTATGTAAGTAGTTGTAATTCATGATAATAACAAGTGAAATTATCAATTACGTACGCATGCAAGAAAGGTGAAAATTTGTTTCCACTGGAAAGCGATGCGTAAGTTATAATGAATGGTTCATTAATATGAACCCTATTGCATATCCCTATGGTCTAGTTTCTATTATATTAAGCTTGCACGATTAAGCAGAACGTGGTTGGAAGAATGAAAAATAAACAAAATTGGAAACGAAAGCGATGCTATAGCTAAAGAGTAGGATGCTCAACGACGACATTGACATATATATAATATATAGAAGGAGATGACTAATTAACTTGTTAATGGTTATTACAATTGATACTTGATAGGATCGAGCATGCCAACTAGCTAGAGATTGAAAGTGCATCCATCAGCTAAGAGAGCATCACTTAAAATACCAATTTATTTTTATTTAATTTCTATTTTATTATATAGTTCTAAGCGTTTATCAATGACATGGGTATTTCTCTTTTATTATTTATTATTTATTATTTATTATTTTTGTTCTCTGTGGTTGCGTTTCTCTTTTTATTTTAAATATATAACGATTTTTTGTGTGTGTGTAAAAAGTGTATTGTTTTGATTATTATTTGTTTCTATTCGAACATTATTTATCAATACTTTTAAATATGTTCTAAAAGTAAGTGTGTGATTAATTGTCTTATTATATATGTTAAACAAAATTAACAAGTTTAGTAACAAAGATTGGAAGTAAGAGTGAAAATGGGTTGATGCCGATTTAAGTTTCGTAAATTTTAAGTTTGCTTCGACTAATGTCAAGATTTTAATCTGACCTATTTGTTTAATATAAGTTATTTTTTAAGGTCTTATTTAACCTATTTAAAAGTATTTGAGATCTTGTATTTCCTATTTTCATGATGATACTTATCTTGTAAGCTTATTTAAAAATTTATTTTATAATAAATTTTTTAAATAGGTTTAAAAGTTTATTTTAAAATAAGTTAATGAGGTTTAACCTATATATAAATTAGTAGACTTAATCCTTTAAATAAATTAAAAATATAATTTCAAAATGTTATAGTAATTACTATTATTATTATTATTATTATTATTATTTAATAAGTTGGCTTGTCAGGTATATATTTATTTAAAATGGTATAAAACTTGACTTTTCAAAATAGGCTTTTAAAAAGGTCTTAACCTGACTCATTTACTGAATAAATCTAGCCCAACCTAAACTTGATATAAGATAAGCTTAAGTTATCGACTAACAACCAGACCTAAATTTGAGACTGATGAAATGGTTTGCTTGCAATAAGGAGTCTGTAATGGAAGATCCCCGTAGAAGCGATTCATGATCCTTTGTAAACAATGATTCGGGCTTGTTGAAGAGCCGCATAGAGGTGTGAAATGAAAGAAACACGTAGAGATATCCGTATCAATATTTTTATATCAGTAAATACATCTCCCAAGTATGGTGTATGACAGATGGTAGAGATCCAAAAGAGATGAACACAAATCATTGACTTTGAAAACTGAAGTGCAGGTGTTAACTAGAATGGGTTTGACTTGCAATTGTTTTTACAAAATAGTTAATGCAAGTTCTTGCATGAGCTTTCAAGTTGAAATCCTGCATTAAATAAAAGAGGCTTCACCTAATAATAGAATACTGATCAAGAAAGTAAATTATAGATTCTTTATTAAAAATTATAAAAATGAGTGTATTATTTATTTTTAATAAATTATTTACTTTTAATTCCTGATTTGACATTATTTAATATTCTTATTGATTAAAATAACAGTAACTACCGTACAACTGTGGTATGTTAATTATAATATATTTTTTATGTCTGTTTAAGATCGCATATACAAATTTATAAATAATATTTTTCATTAAAAATCACAAGATTTAGTAAATTAATAATATTAAATATTATAATTTTTAATACATACATACATATATATATATATATATATATATATATATATTGTAAAAATAGTTCTCAATTTAAGATATAATTATGAATTTAGACCATATATACAATCATACATGAATTATTATAATTAAATATTAATTAAAAATACACGATCGTTTAGAAAAGTCAAGTGCATTTATTTTTTCTAATTATTTTAATAAAATTTAATGGTCTACGTTTAAAAATTTTATTATATATATATATATATATATATATATATATATATAAAGCAATATACTTATATTTATTAATTTTTATACAAATTAAAATTTTATTAATTTAACTGTTAAATTCTTTAATATTATATTTATATATGATTATATATAACTCATTTTAAATGAATTAAACATTTATAATTTTGTAACTTATAGCTAATATTTACTTATATTTTAAAAAGTATATAGTTTGTTAAAATAAAATATCTTGACAAGGCAATTATCTTGATAAGGTAATTTTTTAATATTTTATAACCTTGATTTACTTATTGAGAACTTTTAAAATTAATAAATAGGTCATTAAAATTTGAT